CATGGGAGTCCGGCGACCTTGTGAAAAAAACTTTGGAACCTGAGACTTTCCTAAAAGTCATCCAAGTGACGGTTGGAAGTTGGGTACTTCACAACCATATCCGGCAAGCGCAAGGTAAAGCGATCTACGATGAAAAACAGTGCATGCAACGCGGGAGCATTGTCTTTCATTTTGACTTTGCTGAAAACTGGACCATCGTGCTTCCTGACGAAGTGCAAGCATATCACTGGAAAAAAAAACAAGTTTCGATATTTACATGTGTAGTGACGACAAGAAAATCTACAAACAGCTTTGCCATCATCAGTGAGGACCTGTGTCACGACGCCGCTCACGCTTGCTTGGCTCTAGAAAAAGTGAAGGAGTGGGTTGAAGACAACGTTGCGGTATACTCGTACGTGACGTACGTAAGTGACGGCGCCGCCAGTCATTTCAAGAATCGCTACCCGCTTCACCAATTTGCAAAGGACGATTGCCCACAAGCCCAGTGGTTATTTTCTGCATCTGGACATGGGAAAAATGCATGTGACGGAGTTGGCGGACTCGTGAAGCACCAGGCCACGCTGAACAACCTGAGAGAACGTTCAGTAAGCGCAATTCAGACGGCCAGGACAATGGTGAGCGTTCTATCAAAGAAACTGAAAGGCGTGCATCTTGTATATCTGGACGAAAATGAGGTTGTTTGGTATCGTGAACAAAAAAAAGAAGAGTGGCTGACGGTGCGCACCTTCCCTGGCATTCAGTCTTGGCACGCGTGGCGGCTCAGCAAGTCATCAACAGAAGGGACCTGTGACGTATATGTAGCACGGACAGTCGGATCTGCTTGGAAGCAACTTTATTAAATGGGTACAGCGAGGAAAACCTTAGTGTAAAGTGCCGAATTTGATTTCCCAAGGACTGCTCATTTTGAATGCAGGGACATCTTATTTATCACATTTTTCTTCACGGGGTATTTAACCTACTGTTTTTGTTGGTGGTTACTAATAATTTTTATCTGATCACTATAAAAAAAATCCCAAAATGTTATCCTCGAGCAGGATAAAATATATCGGCTTGCCACGATTCATTCATACACCGAGAGCATCGAGGCTGCTCCAGTTAGGCACTATGGCATCCGTCACCTGAAATTGTTTGTAATCGTAAATACACAGCCAACCTAAATATCTTACTATTATATCTTTGTTTTTGTGTGTGGAAGTAAAGTTATTTATTTTACTCTAGATGTAAAATATACCGGAAGGTACAACTTCACACTGCATCATCTTTTCTCAAATCATTAGTCTCTAATATGATACCACTTTGTACGCTTATGTAAAATGCTGTATATAGTTTCTCCTCCCTTTTACTGTGTGACCGATCGCTCTTTTTATCAATGACCTCATCTGAATAAATGTATATAAAAGATTTGTGCAAGTTTCATGAAACTGGAACTCAGAGTCACTTCTTGTATAGGACACTGCTAAGTGTAGGCTTTGAAAAAGGACCCTACTTTGGGGAGTTGTTTCTTCTTTCACAGTGCAATGATGCAACATGTTTTTAATAGAAATGAATGCCGAAATAGAGTATAACAGAGTACCCAAATTTTAAAAAAATCGAAGGTGGTGTTTTTTTTTTATTCACATTGGAATTTTTCTTTGTTTGATTTTTTTTCCCATGTTTGCCTAAATATATTGTAACTATTGTGTCACTCAGATACCTTATTTATTTTTTCAATAATAGCCATATATTAGTAAAATAATGTCTGCAAGTTATGTAATAATGATTAAATTATTTCATGAGATACAGATTTCCAAAGTTTGCCATTTGTCGTTCGAGCAGGCATGTTTGGCAATTTTTAGAAAACTAAATAAATTTTTAATAAATATTATTACTTTATATTACAAGCAAGTTGTACCCATAGTTTGTTTGTAAAAAGTTTTAAAATTCTCCTAATTTTATTGTTTTAATTATTCACTTTCAAACTTGCCCCCTCCATCAGTGCGCGTTATTGCAACTGTCCACCTCTCCCTGCCTTACGATTTTTCTTGTCTCCAAATTGTTTTTCTGGTCAAAACTAAGTGTGGATTCGTTTATACCAGACACTAGACAATGTCATATAAAAACATCAGTTGATTTAAAAATGTCAACCAGCCACCCTTTGGTCGATCTTATCTGAAATCACCCTGCTGTATCAATAATGTGGAAAACTGGGTGCAATTTTCGTTTGATTTGATTCATTTATTTCACTCTTAAATGCCCACAGAGGGCTTTACATGGGGGGGGGGGGGGGGGAGCAAATTTAAACAGTCAAAGTAACAAAACTAACAAAAAGACTAAGATGCTTGTGTCGGTTTGAGAATATGTAGAAACAGGATGCTAGATGGTGAAGAGAGGAAATGGCAGATCTGAAGTTATTGGATTCTGGGATGGCTCACAATAGGTAGACGGGAGGTTGTTCCAATCAGTAATAGCCAATTTTAAGGGAGAAATTGTTCATAGATTAGTCCTAGGTGTAGTCACTTGGATTTTGAGTGGATGGTCGGTGCGGGGAGAGATGTGGGTGGCCAGTGGGGAGTATTCATCTTTAAAAGAAAAATTATAATACATTCCGTGCAGGTGGGTAAGACGTGATAATTTTCTCCAGTGCTTTAAAAGAGGGAGATTTAATTTAGCTTTCATTGCGGTAATAATTGTAGACTGATATTTGAGGAGAATGAAACGTGTAGCCCGGTTCAGTATATCTTCTAGTTTTTCTTCTAGATACAACTGATGGGGGTTCCAGACAATGGATGCATATTCGAGTTGAAAACTGATGAGAGAATTATATGCGATGAGTTTTGCTTCTTGCGTGGCCTTATAGAGATGTTGCTTTCAAAATCCCAAACTTCCGTTTGCTCCCGCAGATATGTAGTTTATATGAGGCCCTCTGACAAGTTATGGTAATTGATGCCAAGATACTTGTAGGATGTGACGGCTTCAAGTGGTATGGTAGAAAGTGAACAGTCAATTTCAGTAATGTTTCTTTTCGTAGTGAAGTTAAAAAAGTTGGTTTCGTCAACATCGATCTCCATTTGCCATTCTCAACACCATGCTTAAATATGTGACAAGTCATTTTGTAAAAAGGTAGAGTTGGTTACACTCATTATTTTTCTACTAATCATACAGTTGTCCGTGTATAATCTAATAGTGATCAGTTCAAAAGATCTGGCAGGTCATTTATGTAAATTAAAAACAATGGACCCAGCACAGTTCCTTCTGGAGACAGAGAGAGATAGAAAATTTCAGTGCAACTCTTGTACTTTCTGGAGACTTGGAGTAGAAGCTAGATCGATTTAATTGCATCTGAAAGGGCCAAGGGATATGCGGTTCAAGAGACTGCAGGGAAACACAGGCTTGCAAAACGTCATAACAAACTTGGCGCTCACTGTTTATGGGAAAGGGGGAGAGTTTCAAGTGGAATAAATATTTGTGCGTTCAGTTGAATTTGGAAGCGACTGAACTCTTCTTAAGCTTGTTTTCAGTTTCACACTGCGTGCGAGCAAAGTCGAGGCTACTAACATGAGCAGGCTGACCTAAACAAATCTTGGACTGCTCGAGCCCGTATTCACCTCGAGATCGAACAGAGCCATCACCGTGCGGTTGATGTTGGAAACACTATGAGTGTGGATATTGCCGCACGTCGTCTGCTCTCGGCACACATTGAAGCATGGATTCTCGTGACGATGAGGCTTGTATTCGGGCAAGCTGCGCTATTTACGATGTGAATTTTTGTTCTTTCGAAAAGATTGTATTGTTCCACGAGTGTGGAAATACGCGAAGGCAAGAAATGCCAAACCGGATACTTGCACAGTTTTGCTACTGCAATAAGTGTTGTGACGCAATTCTTTGTTTCAGTTTCGGTGCCATTGCATTCTATCATGGAGCAGACTACTGACGGGAAACGGTGCCTTGTCGGAGGTGGACAACTTGTGAATGCTGGGCACATTATTGAGTGCAACGTTGTGGCCCCAACGACCACGCCGATAAGCCTACACATGGGGAGTTACGTGCTGCAGTCGTCGGTTCTCAGGAAGGATCCCCACATTGCGGATCTGAAACTCACAAACGGTGCCACGATTGATGGACTTTCGTGCACTTGCCCTGCCGGGTGACTATTGTTTGTAACTCCAACCGCCGGAAACGCCTTTAAGGGAATTGTATAATTCGTCCTCCCGATTTTTCTAAATGCTGCATCATAAAACCCTTTATTTTTGCAGTCCCAATTATTCGTAAATTAGGTATAGGAACCTATTTGCGGACTCTAAATCTCGCGAATTCTAGAGACTTGGATTCTGGCCTCAAAACAAGAGAGGTATTCACGTGCCCTTATCCTTTGCTAATTTTGTAATTCTGAGAAATTGGGGGCTCGCGAAGGGTTTTGCAGTAGGCAGTGGAAAAACAATGGCTCGAGCTTCATACGTAGCGCCCATGCCCTTTCGCAAGCTTTTAACCTTAGATCTAATCATGCCTTTTTCATGTAGCGTGATTTTTGTTGAAAATTTGTTTAAGCGAAGTGGCACGAAATCTTCGTCACGCGGAGGGTAAGCAAAATGTATGGTGTAAACAAGCAATTGATTAGGCGCGATAGCCCCTGTTGCTCCTTCGGTAGGCTGACCATTTGCGCCCGACGCACACGCGTCGTACGCGTCGGGCGCAACTGGGGCATCTGTGTGTGCGTGTGCGTCAGGTGCGCCCGACGCACACGCAGACACTGAGTCACTTCCGTTGCAGTCAATGCCTCCTTTAATTTGTCATAGTGTAGAGGGCCTCGTAGGAGTGACGATTCTACAACGTTTCAAAAGTCGGATTCTCACGCATTAATAATATCGTGGAATTCGCATCTTTTCCAAAAACACCGCAGCGGGAGAAGCCACACTAAGGACGATCACTCTGCCCAGCAGCGAGCATCAACGCGCACGCTTTACGCGTACTCCACTTTCGGCCACTCGTTACACTTATGTAAACAGTTTTCTTTTTCCACTTACATCGGTTGTCATGCATCCTTGGTTTGAAGTCTTCGGCGGTGAATTGTTTAGAGAAAACCATTGCGGTGAATCGAAGGCTTCCTCGCAATATCAACTTCGAGAGCCACTCTTTCTTCAGCGCACCAGCCGCTGGATATCGGTGAAAACCGATTCTTACCTCGGTGCAATAGGTATTACACTGAGGCATTGAACAGTATCGGATCATTTTCCGTTAAAATTGCTTTCACAATGATACTGTACGAGGAAGTAAAAGCGATTTTCTGCAGGTTCTTGACCGCGACCGCAGATAACCTAGGGGGCAGCCATCTTCCTATCCCCACATTGCTGATGATGATAGCGCGTCAGTAGCGCCATCTTTAGTTTAATTTTGCTTTTTTTCAACGGTCGCAACGCGTCAACGCGTTGCGACCGTTGACGCGATTGCGGCTACGCAGACGCAGGGTGTGTGGAAAACCGACCGTTGCACTGCCTTGCCACCTTGCTCGGGTTTGCGTCGTTTACGTCGCCACAAGCGCGTCTTGCGGCGCAATGCGCGTCTTCCGCGTTGGGTCTCGTCGGTCTCATCGGGCTTCACAAATTCACTGAGCGATGATCCAATCCAATCCAGAGCCAATGGCAGAGTTTTGTTGAGTTTTACCAGTTTTACGTACTAAGTTTTTACTGCTCCGATTCAGTGGGGGTGTTAACTAGTTGGAATCTCTACAGCTTAATCATGATTCACAGTTTTTTCGTGATCAACACGTCGGGGTAAGTTCCCTCGAAATACACGGGCATTATTAGGTTGCTCCGCCCTGCAGCGGCGAGCCGTCAAACGTCAGCAGCAAACTTGTGTAGCGTGGGCTGTGCTCGATCAAATCGCCAGCTGACTTGCATCGAACTGGCCCACGATTAGTGCGACCCCGCTTCCTCAGTTGTGGGGTTCGCACAATAGGAAAGCTCAGAACGGGTGAACCGGCGATGTTTTATCACCTCCCGAGTAGTGCCGAGCGCTGCTCGCGATCTTGGTAACAGATGTAAACCGAATATTTCTGTGGTCGTGTATTCGTGATGTGATAGCGCTCGGGATCAACCAGCATGCCTACTCCGTGGTTGCACCAAGAAGTAAGAAACACTGGTTGCATTGAAAAGACAAATGAGAAAATAATGATCAATTGCCAGGGAAGTACGCTGTAAACTAACGGTACTTACTTTTCTAAACCCCGAAAAATAAAGTATTCCCAGCTAAGGAAATAATACTACTTTGTGAATTAATTTGTGAAGCTATACCAAGTATTTACAGACGGAGATCATTTTCGCCCGCTTTCGGTTTCTGGTGCCATAGAGCCCCATGTATTAGAAAACTCCATCGGCCACCCTTTTCCCATTGAAGTTTTCAGAAAATAAATTATAACTTTTGAGTAAGGTATCGGATCGGGCTGAAATTTTGGTATCTGGTTGTGACCTCTAGTGCTACCTTTGGGCGGAAAATGAGCTTTCAGCGATGCCTAGTTTATTTTTGTAATAAAAAAGAAAAAAAAACCTGAAAATTTTTTTTCTGACACCCTGTACACGCAACGACTACGGCCACAAGATGCTTTGGCAAGATTTTAGCCTCATGTGCCTTCCTAGACGAGCCAAATATGGAAATGACCAATACGCTTGCTTACCTTCCAATCGTGCTGTGAAAGACCGTTGTGCAACTTGAAATTCCCTACTAGGTGGAAGAGTAAGGGGCTCAACATTACAGAGCATTAATGCTTTTATGAGCAATAAACATTTGTAAGTTGTGCCTATCACATAATCTTTGTATTCCAGTTTATTGCAACCTTCCAAACCATCCCGTGTTTCTCCTAATAATTATGGTTTTGCTTTTTAGAGAGCTTGAAGGGCATCTGCATAGATGTTTTCTGAAGCAGCATTCTACAGGTTCCTGGCAACTGGAAAAAATATATTTTCAATCCAAAATCTGGCTTTTTTTTTGTACAAAAACTGCTAATGGAGGACTGTCTGCATGCAACTTCCTGAGCTGCATTCAACATAAACAGAGAAGCGGGAATATTTGGGAAGTAACGAGCCATCTCGGGCACATCCTCATCAGCAAAAATATTAAGGTTTACAAAAACATAATTTTTGCGAGCTCTGAAATGATGTAAATATGTTTATTGAACAAAAACTTGGAACTCGTAGTTGTGCGGAATGAGAAATCTTGCCTTGCTTCCGGCATCCCGCTTGTCGCATTCTTCCAGGCTGGTCCTCTGATTCCAGTTTCACCGTGTTCTTCTCGGCAAATACACGATTCTGGAGTAAAAACCCATTTGAGTGGTGTCCTCACAGACTGTTCTAGTGCTTGGTGCGAAGGAAGCAATTTATATCTTGGGGCGATCCCCATTTGTAGAGCAGAATCAGAAACTGATCCCTAGAAACACGGTACCACAAGAGGAATGGGTTTCCTGAAATTCATTCTCTACAAGAAGTTTAGCAGATTCAGTTCACAAATGCAAGAAGAAAGAGGCCGGCCAACAAGCAGAAAGGAGGAGGCTTACTCTCCACTCTCCTCGATTTTCTCCTCGCCGTTTTTCCCACAGGAGGAAAGAAGGAAAGAGCCCCTCCTTTTTACATCGCCGTTTAGGATTAGGAATGATTGCTTTAGTGGCCAGTTAGTAGTCACACAAAGAAATGAAGGAGCTTCACCTTCTTTCTTTCCCACTTCCCCCTTCTTGATGCGACTATCTTTTCCTACGTGGTTACGCCTCTGCCCAGACCTAAGCTCACAGAGCGGTGCAAGGCGAAGGAAGGAAGCGGTTGAGTGGTCCGGCCAGCCAGCGCCTCCTCTAGGAGGCGCTGGTCCAGCACATAGCTCCCATCACACCGTCGGTTTTGGGCTGAACAGAATAGAAACTAAAACTGGAGAAAGCCAAGCCGCTCTTCTTCTAGCGTGCTGGCACCTGCTTGCCCCATCGGGTTTCTTGCACGGTTCGTTCATTTCAGCAACTCCCTAGAGAGCATTTTACCGACGGGGGATCATCCAGGACATCTTTTTTTTTTCTGAACAGTAACTTTTTTTCTGCCCAAAGTTTTTACTTTTAAATAGTTCACAGTATTATCTTACCTTTTGTTTTTTTATGGAAGAACGAAATGTGGTTCTTTACTGTTCAACTGCATCAATTACTATAAAACAGACTAATTTTTGCAAATGACTAATTTTAACAAATTTCACCATTTAAAAATATTGAGAAAACTTGGTCACGCAAATACATCGCTCTATCAGAACCAGTAGACACCGAACCACTTTCAATCGTAAAATGTCATGCCCACTAAATATTCCAAATATTCATACTTAGCAAAATACACAAAATTATGTGACTGCAAAAATAGTCGTTTTCAGTACAACAAACGTTGAGATATCTGAAGAAAGAGTAACTAAACAGGCAAGCTGATTGATGTTACACATTCACAAAAGCTGAAAAAACAAAACAACAGAGACTGCAAACGAAGTGGAGGACAAACACAAAATGTCTCAATTAAAACTTTCTGTGTCTGTCCCCCTTCTTCGTCCGTTGCCTCCGGTTTTTCAAAAAAGAGGTATTTGACCATTTCGTGTTTTTCTCGAAGAGAATGCGGTACGCCGGCCTAAAGGAATGCACATGTCAGAGGAGGAGACTGCTGCGGGAGAACAGCTTAGTGTTGTTGGCTTAGGTTGGCATGACAATGTTCGGCTCTATTCTAAAAGAAGCAAATGCTGAAAATGAAGATGATTCACTAAGACTCTGCTGTGCCTCTCCGAGACATCTTGGTATCCTCACACAACCCCTTAATAAGTCTAAACACGGCTTACAATGACATGTGATGCGAGTCGCCATTATTTGTTGGCAACATATCTGCGCTCTTAAAGGACAACTCCGCTTCATTTTTGATATTTAGAAAACTATGTAGCCCTCTTCAGTATCATATAGGAAGACCCCATGTCAAATATTACGATCTAATTCCGTGTATGTATTTAATAAACTAACCAGCAAACTTTCAAATCGGCCAAGTCGCCGAAATCTCCCAACTCTAGCGTGCGACGTGAAGCGAAATCGTCAGCGCAGTCAATGCGACGGAGTTGGAGCGGCCAACGTTGAGCCACTACGTCAGAGGCATGACTACGTCATTCTCACGTTTTGTTTGTTTTTATTTCTCAGAGCGAAATTGAACGATGACGTCATGAATTTCTCCTCCCGGTGTTGGCTGAACGGTGTCCACGTGACCACCGTAACGCGGATGCGCTAGTTTGCGCTACCTTGCGCACTTATCTGTCTGTTTCTCCGCTCCCCCTCTCCTCTTTCGTCTTCTCCCCTTCCTCCTCTCCCCTGGGTCATCACCGTCCCCGTCATGCAAAGCGACCTGCCCGGGTCGCGTGTCCCGTCCCTCGCCCCCACGAACGTCACAAGACCACGTGGTTCGACGTGACGTGGCCATGACTCTCACAACACGAGACCAATGTTGCCTGACGGAACCGAAGTTTCGGTCTCGGTGTCAGCAGATGTTTAAATTAAGATTACACAAATAATATTCCACATTTCGCTAATCCGAGGACGTAGAGCTGTTTAGTAGTGCTTTGTGAAATGGAATCACATGTAAGCCTAAATTTTTTCGGAATTGAGTGGAGTTGCCCTTTAAACTTGCACCGTGCCGCAAAAACTTAGCTTGGCGCATAATGAAAAAAAAAAAAAAAGAAAGAAAAGGATGCACACATATACTCCATGTCACTAGTTTCGTGCAGTACAGGCAAAGGCAACGCCGGACAGGGGGGAAAGGGCAAGCACTAGGAAGGCTGGGGAGGAGAGAAACCTCCTCTACTACATTCCTAATTCTTTCACTTCCTCCCCTCGCCCTATAGAAAAGGAGAAGAAAATCTTTGTTGACCCCTGAGCTGGCAGTGCTGTGGGTTTTACGCTCTTGCCGGACCAATCAGCCACCTCCCTTTCATCACCTGACCCCGCTTCCTGCGCGTGTCTAGGAACGGAAGCGTAAACATCCGGCCAAAGATAGACATACGTAGGACTACAGCCTCCTACCCACCATACTGTCAGCTTAGGAATGAAAGGAGTATGGTCCTTCCCGAAAATAAACTTGTGAGCCCGTCAGAGAATAGCTTGAAGAGCGATCCACGAATCCGAGTGAAACAGTAGCAACAGCCCCTTTCGGTGTTTGTTTCCTGCCACTGTGACTAATCCCTGTTGTTCAGGTTGGGGGGGGGTTATAGATGTTGTAACCCGCTTAAATGCTTGGCATCCGAAAAGGACGGAAAGAAGTGAGAAAAACAATGGAGGGGGAAATGAAGGAAAGGAGATAGATCATCTGCCAGGAAGAATTTATTTTTACATATCGGGCTTTAACCCCTTAACTGGGGACTTTTTGGACCAAAATTATTTTTAAAATCGGGAGTGTTTTTAAAGTCTTTCTTGGTCTCGAAGGTACTATAACAATAATCTCGTAACCTAAAACAAATTTATTTATATCAAGTTGGGGGTGCACCCCGGCACTTCCTACAATCCAAAATGGATCTTTCACCATGCTGGCGTCTTGCCGGGTTGCAGCAGACCCTAAAGTTGATGGTGTTGCCATAAACAACTGTTCCGTTGTGTCATGTCTACTTTTCGTGTTGTATCCCAGGGAGCATTCACTTGAACTCGAGAAATCAACATTGCAGTCGGGGTCCTTGTGAGTATTTGGCAGCAGCTCAGCGATTTCTTCGTCGGTCAAGGGACGCGCTGGTGTTTGCTGAACGCCATTTTCCAAACAAACAGTCCAAGGTGTCATACAGGAGTCTTCAACCTTTTTTTGTGCTGCCAAGTATGCATCGTTTTTAAAACTAAAAATGTTTCCGACGCACGAGGATAAATGGCGCATCCTCCCCACACTAAAACAAGCATGCGTTTCAAGACTCACTTCCCGACAGTAAAGAAAGTGCAGCGCGTCTATAGACGCACCCTCCAAGCTGCGGTAAAAATTGACGCTCGTCTAAAAACGCGCTCCCCAGTTGAGGAGTGACAGACAGATAAAATTCAACATTTATTACACTTGCCCTAAGGCACTCCCATTACTGCTGTGAAAGTTGAGCTGTGCAACATTTCTGGTGAAGGTTCGAGCACCCAGTGATGGAAGCAAAGCAACAGGCCACTGGCAGGGTGGACCTTCTCAGCCTACTTTGCGTGTATCGGATTACCATATCGGATTGCTCGTGTTCATGTCGAATCGCTCTCATGGGTGGGCAGAGGGAAACCCAACCGCCAGAGTCAAGGGAGATGCTATAGCTCCCACGATGGATCCAAGTGTCTCTTGTCTTCTTTAGGCTCCTGAACCACTCTTGCACTCTGGCGCCATCTATCGAGTAATCCTTTAACTCTTCCCGTCCGAGCATATTTTAGTATTATTTACACCTCTCATCGTGGGCTTGGAATAATTACGACAATACTATAAGCGACCGTTTCTCGTAGACTGTGCATAGACTTGATCCAGCAAGTACCGCTGAGCCCTCAGCCTAGTTGTACCCAAATCGAACGGGGTTGCTGGGCTATTTCGTAGAGGGCGCCACTGCATTCTCGTCACTAGAGTGCCTTCATACACACACGCGCTTTTGCTTGAGTGGTGACATCTCAGCCATTTTTTCGCCCAATTGTTTTTTTATGCATTTTGAGGTGCGCGCAATCCGGTGTCACTCAGCTCGAGGACGCAGCTTTGGCTAATGCATAGACGCCATTTTACCGCCCAAGTTACACACAGAATGCACGAGAACGTCTCGCACTGGCTTATTCAGGGCAACAATGGATGTCTTCACCCTGAGACAGACAGACATGTAGGCACCCTACTCGCCACAAGTGGTAACGGGCAGTTGTGACGGTCAGTCAAACGCATATGTGGGGACCAGCTTTCAACGTTGTGCTGACGGCAGTGGTGCCTCCGCCGTTCCCTCGTTGCAGGGACGTGTTCATCGAAAAGCACTGGAAGAAGGTGATCCACCGCTCGGTGTGCGACTACTTCTTCGAGGTCCAGAAGAAGGTGGCGTCCCCCGAAGAGATTCCGCCGGTGATCTCAACCCCCCACCACTACCTCATCAACATCTTCCGGAGCAAAATGTTCTTCGTGGCCGTCACCATGTCCGAGGGTGAGCGTGGCACTTTGTTTCTCAGAAACTTTCTTCAAAATTATTTTTAAAGAGTCCACAGAATATTGACTTCATACTTGTTTAATCGGATTTTCCCCCTTTGTTTTAAGGGGGGACACTACCCAATAAAGTGAATGTTTGAAACACTTTTCCGATTTAAATGACATTTACAGGGCTTGTTTCTGTTAATGTTGAGAACATTTCTGCCAAATTTTGTTAACCTGGCTGAAGTACAAAAGAAGTTGCAAATGGTCAAAGATGAAAGTGGGCAAATCTATGAAGGAAAACTATAGTTTTGAAATTACTTATAAATTTGTCATTTTTATGTTTTATATTGTTTTATATATTTATGACAGTTCAGAGCAGATAGCTGGGGAGCTATATTTTTATATTAAACCATATTTTATGACAAAAAAACCACATAAACACAAATACTGTTTTTTAGATTTCCATCCTTTGTTCAAAATTTCAGTTCTTGAGCATGAAAACATGAGAAAAATAAAAAAAAAATACATGCTCATAGCTATCGTCTCCTTAAAATTTCAACCCAGAAATACTCAGAAAATTGAATCCAAGTTAAGTAATAACAACACAATAGTTTTCCTAGGGTGAAATTTATGTGAAAAAGCGGAATGGAGAGAAATGTGTTTGAAGTGCTCCAACCCCTCCACCTTTTTTTTAGCATTGGTGGACCGAAAATAATTTATAAAAAAATTAAGTATGCAGTGTAAACTAATGAAACTTTCTGGGAATACTTTCTAGATGTGGTGGATTTCATTTTTTAAAATCAACTTTTTTTGCAGAAATAGTTTTTTCTGGGAAGTGTCCCCCCTTAACTAGATTTCATGCAGAAGAGCTTGATTAGACATTCTCCTATTGTAATCAACAAAATGGCGACTGCTGAAGGGTGCTTTCAGTTCTAAACCTTAAGTTGCTACATAAACAGCACCGTTGGGCAGGAAGGGGTTCATTTCTGGGCGAGATTAGCAACTTGCTAGTTTAAAACAGGGCGAAGAGTATAGACCCTTTGCAAAAAGGGCTCTCCGGCCGCCATCATTTTGCGACTCAAGCTACCCCTACCAAGCAGAAATTTCTGCCACCCGCCTCGGCTGTGGAAACCCGGTCAGTGCGACTCCCCACCTGCATTGTCATTTGGAGTTTGTCTGTCAGCTTTCCTTGGAAGTTTTTACTTTGTTTGTTTGTTCAGGATGCTTACCCTTTTTGTGTTATCCTCCATTTTGAGAACCAGAGAGTACCAGGGCTTGCAGCCTGGTCGGCCTTCGCAGGAAACAAACAAAAAAAAGTGAACGTCAAGCAGCCCGCGACGCGAGCCGTTCAACGTTTTTCGGAGATTATTTCTGCCGAGATAATCTCCAAAAAGCCGTTCTAGCTATATTCCCGGTCTTCGTTAAAAAATAGCTGATTGGGTCAGGTCTGGGGCACGGGGACAGAATAGGCACGTTCGTTCATTTGCTTTGGTGCTCTGCAAAAAAAGCATCATCAGCTCTCTTCAAAACGTGCCTCAAAACAAGCCGGATTCCATCCCATCGTCGTGAAGTGGCTGTCGTCGACACTGTATATTAGATATGCCGCGTTATTTGAGACCTTTTTCAAACCCTGTTCAAATGAAGCGGCACTGCTGGGTGCGTACAGTATGTTGTTCGATTAATGAGACTCGTTGAGTTTTATGTTATGAGCGTAGAATGCCCGTGCATTTCGGCTATCCTGTGTGGTCAAATATTTTAGTCAATTAAAACCTTTGTAAATTGACACGGCTGAGTGTATGGTGTCGCAAAAGGTCAACATAAAATGCAACAAACATTCCAGTTGCATTTGTTTTGTCATGCATGGACTTGCCAAAAATAGCTTTGATTTGTTTGTTTTTGTTCACCAAAATAGTACAGTGCTTTCTTAAAAAAACTGTGAGAAATTCTATTTGCCACAGAACACAGGACAAAAAAGAAAATGCGGCAATTTAGCTGCCACCTGCGTCCGGAATTGCGCTACGCATGCTGCCATAGGCCACTGATGAGAGAACCCACAGCCCAGTGTAGTCTGGCAACACTGACATACACTCTCCAAACCAGGGACACACGTTGTAAATCACTTTGTTTGAGACTGACGCCGGAAAGGTCTATACAAAGGCCATCAAGTTGGAGGAATCTTATGGCATCGTTCAGTGTGCAACTTTCATAACCTTTTAATTGAGAGTTTTTTTTTCTGGTGTACCTGCTTGATGAATTTCCTATGTGCCAGTCTCAGAGAGCATTGTAGTTTATATTTAGTTCTTGTGTGCATAGCTTAGGTGCTCCAAGGTTGAGTATGGCGGAGCAACCATACACTGCAAAAAGAAGTGTGGCAATCGAGAGAGTATGCAGGCAAACTTGTGGAGATTTTAAACATAGAACACAAAGACTTGGACCTGCATGGCGACATCGATAGCCCAGGTACAGGAATATGTATTTAGAGTATCTAACGGGCAACGATTTTGAGATGCGAGGCTCAGAAAACGTGACCATAATGTCAGATGTTTGATTTCTGACATACAAATTAAAGGAGAGGGTTCACATACCATGTAATTAGGGGGAAAAATGCTTCAAGTTTTGCTCCTTTGCCGTGTTTATGCAAGGCAGTACTGTGCTTGAAAATTGCGCACCCCACTTTTTGGATGTTCCCTCGCTTTACTTAGCACATAACGCTGACAAAAAAGAAGAAAAAAAGAACTGTTTAGATTTTTTACAAACAATGGGTTGTCATTTTGTGATTATTTATAATAATTTAAGGCAGATCAAGATGCTCCACCTGACACGGGTGTTCGATTTCAAATGAACTCACCTTTGCACCTTCAACGACTGCTCATATTTTGTGCGGGGTAGGAGCCTTTCATATTGGCTCGAATAATTGCTACATTGTTTACGATTGTGGTCTGTGTGTCACCTTTTCCTGTTGATATTCAAATGGGGCCTAGGGAATGAGGGCGCAGTTATAAGGTCTTTGGTTTAAAGGCCCTCTTCACTTCCAAGTGAGAAGGATGTTTTACTTGCAACTAGGTGTGTTACCTTCCCAGAATCTAGTGCAGATCACGTCTTCTGGTGCAAACCGTTGTGGTGCACACTGCACGGCCATTGTTCATAAACGGTGCAGGAACAGTTAGAGTAAATGGAGGTGCAGTTGAACCTCGATTTAACGAAACCCGATTTTACGAATTTCCCGATTTAACGAACAAATTCGGATTCCCCACGCATGTTTAGCGCGAGATCTCCCTTCCTCGATTTTACGAAGTTCCCGATTTAACGAAATAATTAGCGGGTCCCGGTGACTTTCTTAAATCGAGGTTCAACTGTATTGTATTTGGAAAAAATTGTAGACACCTCAAATGGTTTTGTTGTGGCGTCTGAAAACAGGTTTCTGTGATTTTTGAAGAACTTCAACGGCATGGGAGTGACATATTCTTCTTTTTGTTTTTCTTTTCAGTGCCCCCCCTCTTTGTTATTGAATTCCTGCACAGGGTAGTGGACACCTTTGCAGACTACTTTGGTGACTGCACAGAGTTCCTGATCAAAGAGCACTATGTTGTTGTCTATGAAGTAAGTAGCAGTCCTCCTGTTCTTGTTTGTGTCATGGCACACAAACCTTTGTGTGCCAAGTGCTTATTTAAGCATTCATCAGGGCCAACTGGGATTTCAGGTTTGGATTTTTGAGAAGGAGCCCCTTTTGTAGGAACCTCAAGGTAGAAGATGACCTGCAAGAGGGACGGGGAATGAAAATAATGTTTAGGAGAGCTTGGTGGATGTTCCTGGATTTAATCTTTTTCCTGCGACAACTGGAAATGGGGGGAAGGTTCTCTTTCCTGCGTTGTTTCACGAGGAGCTGGCTTCTTTTCAGTGCAAGTCTTGCTGTTAAAGGGCTTCCAGACAGGCGAACTGAGGAGGTGTGGAAATATCTAATTTGTGGCTGTGAATTTAATACAGTTGCCGACCAATTTATCGGATGCCGATAATTCAGACTTGTTCAATATTTCGGACCTTAAAGACCGACGACCACTTCGCGCTTTCCACTTTTCCCTCGCTTCCTCCCCTCCCTCCTTCTACCTTGTTGACCGTTGCCGTTTCCTCCTCCCCCATGGTGACAAGGACCTTCTGCCTTGCAGAACCGTGAGTCTGGTCGTCGGCCTTTAAGAAGGATCCGTGACTTACTCGATAAAAATAGTGCATATTCACGACCAATGTTTCGGACAGCTTGAAATCCATGTAGTGCTAAGTCCTACCCCGAGGTGATGCTATACGGCTTTTCTTTTCTCTAGCTGCGCGTCATTATCATCGTCATCGTTACCATTTTGTGTCCATTCGCCATTGCAGTCGTGGACTTGCACCTCTCATGTCGTCTCGGTGACTCGTGTGTTCAGGCGACGCTGGCTTGGGCATCATGGCCCCATCTGTTCTTCCACCATCACAATGTGTCTCTAAGAAGCGTGGAAAGTGCTCGACCATAACGCTAGAAAAGAAGGCAGTGATTCTCAAGCTAATAGAAAGTGGCCGAGCGCAAACGGAGGCATAACCTTGTAGACAACCTGGGGATCCAAAGTGTTGGGTCAGGTGGCCCGCATGCCCAATCGTGCATAGTCATTTCCGCCGAGAGGGGGCCAAGTACATTTTGCCACATAGGCGGCGCTCCACTGCTGACAAAAGGCCATCGCAGCGGATGCGCAGGGGGCTCTTGGGATCATGGCGTGGGCGATGACAGTCAATAAATGACTACGTGCTGTTTAGCCAGTGCGTCGTGTCATTCTGCGAGACGGGTAGCAGCAAGGGAATTTCCACAACCTGAAACAAGGTGTGCTGGCGTTACCTGAAGCAAGGCACTATTTATGTCTTTTTGAATCCCGCTTAGACGTAAGAAAAGCAAGTTTTATAATCTGGTGATTTTTCAGACTGCTCTATTAGAATGTTTTTTAGGTCCCTACGAAGTCCAAAAAATTGGTCGGTGTTTGTATGAATATTAAAATTCGACTGCAAACTGAATTCAAACCTTTTTATAATACAGATGTGTCGTGAATATAACGTCCACCCATGAACGTTATATTTGAGATTTTAGTACTAGCGCTAAATTGCGACTATGTACATGATGGAAATCGCGGCATGAGCAGAGTTTGGCTGGGCTTGTGTTCTGGCGTTTTAAGGCGAAAGCCTTATAGTCTCATCGTTTAGTCAACCTTCAAAGTCCTTGAGCCAAAACACGTCGGCGACACGACAGGTACCAAATTGTTTACGGGACCACTCGAGAGAATTAGAGGCAGTGAAATTAAGGAAGATGACAAAGCGAATTAAGAGGAAGCAAAGTTAATCGAGAGGAATTGAAGGGAAGTAAAAGTAATCAATGGGAATTAAGACGGACTACAAAGTGAATTAAGAGGAATTGATGCGAACTAAGAGGAATCAAAGTGAATTAAGAGTAATTGAAGAGAAGTAAAAGTAATCAATGGGAATTGAGAAGGACTATAAACCAAATTAAGAGAAATTAAAGTGAACTAAAAGGAATCAAAGTGAATTAGAGTGAATTAAGAGGAATTAGAGTGAATTGAGAGGAATTAAAGAGAAGTAAGAGGACTATGAGGAATTGTGTGCGTGAAACCTGGAAATAACATGAAACAAATAAAGGGAATGTTAGAAAAGAGAACATGGAACAAAGTAAATCATGTGTCTGTTTTTAATGCAACGGCGCTTGGGCCTTCACCTTCAAGTCGTCTTAGGGATAACATAAGAGATCCTGTTTGTTTGTCTTTGTTGTCGTCATCGTGAGTCTGCTTCTTGGAGGCAACAGGATATTTTACAATGATGTTAATTGAACATGGAAACTTTAATAAGTTATCGGTGTAATTATTTTTAAGAAAACATACCTATGAAAAGGAGCAGTTTTATTACATGAAACCTTTTGCATACTTGTATTAAAGGAAAAGCTAGTTGGATGGAACATAATGTAACGTGACAAACAAAGCAATGATTACCCTTTTCATTTGAATATAGTTTGATGTTTTCTTTTCCAACACTATCTTCGAAAGATAAGTACAAAGTATAATCAAACACAAAAAAAATGTCATACAATAGTGAAAAAAAAAACAAAATATTTTCAAGCCCACTGAGTCAATCTAAAGGCTCAGACAAACTATCAGCTGTTTCTCCTAGCACGCTGGTGCAAAGGAGTGAAGCCTGACTCATGTCCACCGGTATTAAGCAGTAAAGCTTGACACCAGTGCACTGGTGCACAGAAGTTAAGCTTGATGCAAGGAGTCTGGGATTCTCAGTGCATGACTTGTAATTTTAGAATACTGTAAACAACTATTTTTGCTAGCTTCATATTTCAAGGATTTTTCAAAGTGATGGTTTCAGAAATATTTTGTTGGTATAAAGTTTCGCGACACAGGAGGGACGTATTAAGCATTCGTCGCCGTGAATTGTGCATTCGTGGTATTAGTGTTGCACAAATTTGTGCAACTGCAAACTTTGTGGAAGTTAGGTCCTCACAAAAATTAAGTGATCTATGGTATCCTAAAAGCCGAATACTTTGGACAGTAAAATTGTCCTGCAAATTGAATCAAATAGCAAACACTATTATTAGAGAAATGATTGAAGTTTGGAATATTCGAACATGTTTACAATTTTGTGCGTGTCTTGCAGTTGTTGGACGAGATGCTGGACAATGGGTTCCCCCTGGCCACAGAGTCGAACATCCTGAAGGAGCTCATCAAGCCACCCAACATCCTGAGGACCCTGGCAAACACCGTCACTGGAAGGACCAAGTGAGTGCACAATTCCCAGTTGCACATTGCCAAGCACACGTGGCATTGCCAACAAAGCTAGGCATGCTTGCAATGACATCTTACTGACAAACAGGTCTTCAATAAACAATTGAGTTTCTTGGCACTGACAACATACTGCCCATGGCTTGCCTTCGACACCCTGCAGATGGCTGTCATAAAATTAAAATAAAGGTGTGTGAAGCTTTATTTTCAATAATTAGCAAACGTTTGAATGGTCTTGGTAGACTTTTGCATTGGGTTCTTTTTAGCTTTAGTGCTTTCCTAGCTTGCTGTCCTGAGTTCACATGTTATACTGTCGAGACCGGTTATAATGAAATCAACAGAAATCGGAAATCACTTAGCTATTTCGCTATAACCGACTTCGGTTAACGCAGTGCAAAAGGGAATGGGAAATCGTGATAATTTCGCTGTAGCCGCTATTTCGTTATAACCAACTTCGTTATAACCGGTCTTGACAGTATGTTCCTCCATTCGCTACTGTCCTGTAAGTCTCTAGGATGTCTTCCTGCAAGCTCTGCAGAAAATTAGACCGGTTGATGGCCATCACAAAGAGGTGCAGGCTTTTTGCAGTGATATAGTACCGTGCTACACTGCTTACGTTGCTCTAACATTGTTGGCTTGTAGCTTGAACTACATTTTCCAGAAGCACTTAGTAGTGAGTCAGGGTCGATGTCTACAAAAGCAGCTTTGGTCACTGACAGAATCAGAACGGCAGGAAAAGTATGCGGAGGGCAAGTTCGTCTGCTTCTTGCGCAGGGGGTAGCGGTGACGTCAGAACGCCGAGCCCTGATTGGCTGATCGCGACCCCCTATCTGAGCGTCGTCTGCTCTTTTGCAACGTCGTCTGCTCGCAACGTCGTCTGCGTCTGTCTTACCTTTCCTGCGACTTTCGGAAGCGCAGAGGCCAGATTCACGAAACGACCTTACGCCAAAATTGTGCGTAAGACAAAACTTAAAGGAGCTGTGCAACAATTTCAGGGCTTTGCTTAAATAATTGTGGAAGTTGATGCCCGACACTTCTGCAGTGAACTACAGAAAACAGATTTTGCCTGGATACCCTAGTTTTTATTTTAAAAAATGAAAAAAGATCCAGGTTTTTGCCGCCTCTCAACTCGTGCATCGTCTTCCGGGTCACGTGCACAGTGACGTCACTTGAGTAGGCGCGGAGTTCCGGAAAAGTTCTCTCTTTAGAGCCATCCGCGAGCAGCGAGAACTCATCCGCTCGTGACCGCGTGACCACCCGTCCTTGCCCGTCCGGCGCTGTCCTCCTCCCCCTCCGGCTTCTAGCGGCTGTTCGCGGTTTTGTGGACCTAGGATAGATGGCGCCACTAAAACTCCGTATAATAAAAGTTTTGTCGATGATACCAGGGTTTTGACGCATTTATATATATGTTGGAACGACAAGATTTATAAAAAAGTTACCTTTTATCGAGCAGGTATTCGCACAACTTGCTATCTTTCTTACAACTACCCAAGTGACGTCACGCCGCTTGTTTCTCATGGCCGCCGCTTGTGGCTGCAGGTCGGGAAATATTCCAAGTTTTGCCTCGCTATTACGCGGCGGAATCGCAACATTTCGATGAAAAGAGGTGCGTTTTCTGCCATTTGTGACACAGTGAACAATATCAAAAGCAGAGAATGCCAATTCTTTCAACGTTGAAATCGTTGCACAGCTCCTTTAAGAACAAATTCGTATTCACGAAACGAAATTTTCGTAAGTTTTGCGCAGGTTACGACGAAATCCTACGGCACCTCCGAAACTGTCTTACGCACTTCTTACGATCAAATCAGCATGGCCAACAGCGTCGCGGTCGCGACGACCCACGGACGTTTATTTTTCTACCTGCGCTTCTGACGCGTCCCGACTTCAAGCAGCAAGAAAAAAATTAAGAAGTACTTGAAACAGACCACGACGAACAAGAACGCTGGATCCACAAACACCCAGGAAAAGCTCCAACGGCCTCGATTCCACCGAACGCGACCAAACGAGCTGGGCAGTTAGGCCTAGCAGGCGCTCCGCGACTCGGCGACCGTCTGCCCACGACCGGCTGGCGTGCTGAATGGAATATGCCCGCACGACCCTTGTGAACCCTTCCCGTATTATACTTTGATCGCTGACCTCAATTTTAGATTAAGAGGTCAATTTCTTCCTCTTGTTATCTCCTTGCTTCCCGAGGCAACGGTGACTCTCGCCGGTGAAAAAGCGGTGAATCTCCGACAGACGCAGAAAAGGTAAAGCAGCCATCGCTTTGACTAGCAGACGTAAAGCAGACGACGTTAACTGCGCCAACCGCCGACGCCGTTAAAGAACGAGGGGCCTCGCCGCACACGAATGGAGGGAAAAAGTATTTGGGAGGGAACTTGCAAACACTAACACGCTCACTCTCGGTTCTAAGCAAACAAACCTCGGCGCCCCGGGACACCTCGCCAGTGAGTCCTTTGACTTCCCTCCTTGATGCGCGTCTGCTAGTTTTAGACAAAAACAACGTACTGCTCGAGTTATTTCGTCTGCCCTTTCTTAAAGGCGAAGTCAAGTTCGCTCCGAAAGTCGCAGGAAAGGTTAGACAGGCGCAGACGACGTTGCGAGCAGACGACGTTGCAAAGGAGCAGACGATGCTGAGATAGGGGGACGCGATCAGCCAATCAGGGCTCGGCGTTCTGACGTGGCCGCTACTTCCTTTATCATGCGCAGAAGACGAAAATGAGCCCACTTGCGAGGCGTTTGCCTTTGGCGCGCCCTTCCTGACTTTGCTAATGCTTTGAGCGTCTCGTGAAACTCGAGCACGCAACTACGGAAGGCAATGAGCGCAGGCGGTCAGACGTCGGAAAGAGATTTGTCATTCGCATCCTGGCAGTGACTGTAGACCATTTCAATTATGATCCTCCGTTTGCTGCCACCTTTCTTTTGTGCGCCGTGGAACTCGTTTTGAGTGTGCGCAGAAACCGTCTGCTACGGAATAGCAGACGCTGCGCATGCGTCCATGGCCCAACCACTCAGCATTTTTCTCTCGGGTGATAAATGCCAGAAGGACATACTGTAAGCTACTTTTGGGGGATGTAACGTAGGCAGTTTAAGGGAGGGTTCGTTCCCGCTGACACGTCTCCTCGTGCTGCACCAGCCTGAGCTCCACGCTCCCGACGGGCCAGCTGTCCAACGTGCCCTGGCGCCGCACGGGCGTCAAGTACACCAACAACGAGGCGTACTTCGACGTGGTCGAGGAGGTGGACGCCATCGTCGACAAGAGCGGCTCCGTCATCTCGGCCGAGATACAGGGATACGTGAGTGGGAATACTTTCCTCTTGGCGCCGCTCTGCGGATGAATGGACGGCCATCCTCTCTCTGTAGTGCGCCTAGAACGAGTTTTAGATGGTCTGTCTGGTGTTCACACTGCCCACGCTTCAGAAAGGGTCCCGAAGTGGTTACAAACGACGGTTGCCTGTATTAGTTTCGGCAAAAAGCACGAGCAAACGGGAGTGTCGCCGTTGCCACTGCGTCCTGACTCTTGGCTGCTGAAGTTTCTGTGGACCATGGAGGTAGGAAGTTAGCGGATGCGACATGACGGCACGAGAGGTGAAGCCAGAGGTGTGGAGGGACACACTCCCATTAGCGACCAAAACCTAGAGACGGACGAAAAGGAGAGCTATTGGTGCCAAGTCAGCTCTCTTTTATGTCCGTCTCTTGGTTTTGGCCATCATCGGGGGCTAGTCCCTCCACACTTCTGGCTTCACCTCTGGTGGCGCCATGTCGCCTCTACAAGCTTACTACCTCCATGCTGTAGACTGCCGAGCTACATGGTGACCTGCAGCCAAACGGGTGTATCTCGTATCCACCTTTGTTGCTGTGTCACCACTGGCGTCACGGCAAACAAAGGCGTGACACTTCGTAATGTTATTGGGCAGAAGTCGAGGGACAACTTTCAGGGACACAGTAAATGCACCGGTTGAAGTCTCATTTCAGGCACCATAGTGTGGTGCCCGGGATGTGTCTGTGACTGGAGTCTTCACCCCGTCCGCATTTGTGACCTCTCGGTATGCATCCAACGACGTTGCATTGATGCCGTGCTGGCGTTTTCCGCCGTTTTCCCTCTCATTTCGGCCGCCTCAGAACGGCAGGGCATAGAAACAGAAGTTAGTAGTCTCATCGGAACCGGACTGCTGGAGAGCCCTTAGTAAGCGCGGTGAAGCATCAAAACATCACTTGCTAGGTCGGTACGTGTAGCCTTTTTTAGCTTTATTTTTGTAGGAAAGTGCCTGTGTCATGCGTGCTAAAACTGGATCTTTTAGGTGAATGCGAGTCATGACCTCTTTATTGCGCCCAAAGTTGACGAGCAATTGAACAACCTCAGTGTGTCGCGGGGAAACGGACACCTCTAACCCTTTGTCGCCTTCCTTCTGCTCTTCTGTTGCTCTGTTTCTTATTCTTTCTGCTGTGACAACCGGCATGAGCGCTTACGACTTGCTGATCCCTGTGCCCGTCTTTACTTCTGTGGGTCGAATGGACTGCTGTCCTTCATCTGTGGCAGTGGGTATGCCCGTACTTACTACCCAGGGAGGTAAAAAGGAAGTAAGAAGTAAAAAAAGGGAGTAAAAGGGTACAAAGGTAAAAAAGGAGTAGGAAGGTAAAGAGAGAGTAACAGATAAAAATAGGGGGAAGAGGTAAAAATAGTTCATGAAAATTACAATTTTAATGACGACGATGACAAAATGTAGGAATTCAAGTCTTAGCGGTTGCTGCATGTGAATGCGTGTGGCCCACATTGCCGGCATTGTCACGTAGAGACGATGGGAAACATTAGCCCATCTGAAGTGGCCCTTAAGGACTTGCCAGCAATCAGGTTCCACTGAAACAACTGTTGTCTCCCGCCGTGCTTCGCCGTTCCAAGTTTTCCAAAATGTATGGGAAGGTGGCAGACCTCTTTCTCCGTAATTTTATTGCACTCTATGACCACGCCAGACCTGCTGGGTTTTCTTGTGCCCTTGTCTCCAAATCATCTTTCACGTTTTGCCAACTTCTAGAATCAAACCCTCATATATTCAGAGTGTTTCACCAGCTACTGAGAATAATCTTAAAAAGATAAGAGTGTACTTCAAGTAAATAAATTCTTCATTTGGGATGGCATTGTGAACTGCGGTGAACGCCAGGTTACAGGTGTAAGGTGATAATTAGAAAATGAATGGCCTTTAATTCACTTTAGATAAAGCCATAGCTGTTAAAATTCAGACAACTAAGTCTTTCTCTATGCTATTTTATGGTAAATTTAAGACACGGGGAGGCTGCGATACTGGAACTAAGATGCAACGGAAGTCCCACCTAGAATTGACGTCAGCCACTTAAGGGGTGCAATTGCAAGTGATCGGAAGCCGATCTGACTGCGTTGACTTATCTAAGGGCCGTGCGGTTGTAGATAAACCGCGTTGCACTCTAATGTCTCGGCTGCGCAGCTTTTGGCACAGTTTCGGTATGGCAAACTTTTGATAACCCAACTTTGCCATTGAAAAATGTGGAGATCTTAGTTTTCTGACTTCTAACTACAGTGCGATCCACCTATAACGATAATGAGGAAACCCAAAAATGCAATCGTTATAACCGATTATCGTTGTACGTGGACTAGAAACTGGTCGTTTCTAGTCTAGAACTTCTATAAACTGATCATTATAACTGGTATATCGTTATATGTGGTATCGTTATAAGTGGATTGCACTGTACTGCTATAACATATTTGGATGACATAACAATCTTTTTATGGTCACCTTGAACAAATGGGCCAACACACTTAAGTAAGTGATATACGTTTATTTCTTACGTGCGTTTGTCTATTTGTTAATGTTGGCCATTTGATCGAAGTACCAATAGGACACGTGAATAACATTCTCTTTATTTTTGCTGTTCCAGATGCTTAAACATTGAACTTAATTGTTTTAATGGTAGTGTTGTGCACATACACATTTTATTGGATTTGTTTAGAATTGTATGCTATTCAATATTTGCTTCGAGACAACTTCTAATATTCATACTTTCCGAAGTATTACAATTGACGGTCACATGTAGCATGTTTAGTCAATTTAAGAAATCACATTTAAAGGGATACTACAACGAAATTTCGGCGCTCATTTTTTTGGTCTATATGTGTTCAAAAGAGCAGTATCACATGGAACATACCAATATCTTGTTAAAAAAGTCTCGAAAAGGAATTTTAAAACGAATTAGACGATTAGCAAAGAGCACCTGGTGGATGTCGCTAACGCCTCGTTTGTAATGCTCGTCTAGGAACCTTGACAGCTAGTGACGGAGGTTGTCTCGTCTTCGGCCACGACGAGAGAAGGGGGGAAGGAGGAACTCCCCTCTTCCCGAGAATCCCTTTTGTGTGTCGCAGAAGTCGCTATTGTCCCCCTACAAGATTATAGAAGATTAACCCGTCACTCAAAATTCATACAAAAGCAGCCGCTTCGGTGGCTGGAACGACTAGGCCATCCTCTCGACGTCAGCCTCCCCGTAGCTTTGCTCGTCTTGAGACGACCTACGTCACGATTGCGTTGGATGTCATGTGCTCTAAGCTGGGCCTTCTCCGAGCGCTTGCCAGAGTGGGCCGTTTATAACGAAAAATACAGCCACCAGGATCAAAATACAAACGTACGATTGCCATTTACGGATATTGTGGATCATATTCAACCTATTTTTGAACACGACGGGAATATTTCAAATTTCGTTGAAGTATCCCTTTAAGTTTGTGTTAGCATGGTAGGCTTGTACATTCTCGACTCTAGATTAATGTTGAAATTGCAAATGCTATTGGCAAGCAACATTTCTTGCATTGGCAAGAAACGGGTTATGCCTGGACCTCCGGGCTACCTAGGTTCATTTAGAAAAGAAAACAACTCGTGCTGTAACACTTCAATGTTTCAAAAGCAAATATTAGACCAAAAACATGCCACTTCCCATTCCCTTCACAAAACCCACTACTTGCTCGTGCCTTCGTACCGGTTTTTTTTGTCCGACGATCAAATCTATACCGTATCACGGTAGCATGTTGAGTGAGTTTCAGAATTAGAATAAGCTGGATGGAATTAAAATGCCACACCATCCGCAGTTTCTACGAGTATTTCCTTCTAATCGACGGAAGATGAATGCGCCGGACTCGTATAAGAAAGCCAGTCAAGCCATGCTCATTCGTCTGAATTGCTGGCTAAGTGATGGCCTTTTCTGGAGTAGAGCGTCGTACCTTCGAAGCTGAAGCCTCCGCTGCCTTGACCGTCTTTGATGGTGCCTCACGATACGGGAGCACGAAGTGGGCCTTCTGTGATTATGGAGCTACCTAGATGCAATGTGGTGTAATATGATGGAAAGTTGGGCGAGTTAGTTGTGCATGCTTAATGAAAAAGTTAGACATTTATCTATGTAGATGCATTTCCTGACGAGCCTCCTCCTTACATTCCAGGTCGACTGCTGCATCAAGCTGAGTGGCATGCCAGACCTGAGCCTGACCTTCGTGAACCCTCGTCTTTTTGACGACGTCAGCTTTCACCCATGCGTCAGGTTTAGGCGCTGGGAGGTGAGTGCACCTGCGAGCTTGTGTGCCAAGGCAGTGGAACAGTAAAGGCCTCACGTTTCGGTTTGAGCGTGACAGGGCGACCACCTGTTACTGACGAGAAACTGCACTGGTGACATATTGGGTAGCCCTAGAACTCTTTCCATCTGTGTATATTATTTCCCAATTTTTTTGCATCATTGTTTCATTATGGGCTTGAAATAATTCAGACAATGTTATGAACGGCCTTCTAATACTTGCATGATGAAAGCACTTTATTTTTCTAAAAAAAATTATGTATATTTGGGGAGCACGTTCATTATTTGGGGTAAAATTTTGTGCCTTAACACAATTCGCGTAGACATCATTTTAGGTGCCCGTCCGACGGGCACATTATAGTGGCACGTCTCCACTGACGGAGGTGCACCCACGGCTGGTTGTAGGTGCATCACAGTAAGCTTGCTCTACAGAATGCAGACTTTTTTAAGAGAGCCTTTGGCTTTTTAAGAGAGCCTTTGCCACAGAAAAAGAGTTCTACAAAATTCGCTCCGCACAAAGAGTGACGCGAGCTTTCCTCGACATAACCACTTTCACAACTTCACTATCCGAAGGAAGACCACAGATGATGGCGTGTTCACCGACATCGGTGTATTCAACAATTGGAAGATCTCTGGAGGCTGGGCACTTCCTCAATCTCAGCTTTGTTGGCCGTGTGTGCCACTCGATTATGCCGTCGATCGCTTCCGCAACTTCCCACTTGACGCCATGATGCGCGCTTCTGCTGCCATGCTTTGCTCGGATAGGCCCGACCTGGCTCTTGGCGGCTTTCTTGACTCTGTGGCTGTCTGGGTTAGAGGCAGATTGATACTCATGGAGTCGAAAAATGAGAATGCGTTCATTAAGTGCGGGGAAAAAGAAATCCAAATATTGCCGACCGTTGTGAAGGCTGCATTCATTATGCGAGTAAATACGGTAGTTATGCACAGATTGGAAGTGTCTTTGAGCTGCCTGATAGATGTCGACAGTGTCCCCATCAGTTTTCTCGTCGTTAGTGGATGCAGTCACACCCAAATGCAAATGTGTAAACACCAGCCTTAATTGTGCAGCCAGATCAGATTAAATGATCTCGTAAGTGTTTCCTGTCACGGAAACCTGGCTTTAGTCTCTGAAATACGCCTGCATTTCTCAGTTTTGCTGAGCAGTTTGTGAGATAATGATGGGGGGGGGGGGGGGGGGGGTGTGGAGGAGTGTGGAGATAATGATGGAGGGGTCCTATTTAATAGTTAAAGAAAGGGCAAAGTGATTTTAGAGCTTTGTTTTAGGCTGTGTTTTCTGAAATCATAACTCAAGTAATTTTTGGTTTCAAAGATTTGGAATATGCGAAATCTAGAAAGCAGCACGATGGGAGCAAAATGGCGTCACGCAATACCCTTCCCAATATGACGGCAAGAGAAGCACTTGCCTCTTAATCAAGCCTTATACACAGTTTAAATGTCTGCCATCGTGCAGTAGGAGGCAAACTTCCTTTCCAGATAGATTTATGTCTAGACACGTTGTGTGCTCAGACCTTTGATGTCCGTGTGGAGAGACCACTAGTCCATTTATCTAGTTGAAGAAAAAAATTAACTGAAGCATTTCCTTAAGTTAAAGAAATGCAGAAGCCCTGCCATCCCCTTACAGATGTGTAGCACATTGTGTTAAAAATTGTTTGACATTATAGTGTATGAGGGAGAAAAAGTGTGAATCCCAAAACAGGGTGCAAGCGGCCACGTTGAATTATGTTTCAGTCTGAACGGGTGTTGTCCTTCGTGCCTCCTGACGGCAACTTCCGCCTCATGTCCTACCACATCGGCTCCCAGAGGTGAGAGCTCATCATCGTCAATATTATTATTATTATAATCATAATAATGGTAAGAATGTTATTGTAGAACCTGGTTGGTAAATTCCCGGTTCATGTGACGTGTCCTGGTTGTTTATGTTCGTGGCTGCCAGTCCTACTTTGGGGCAGGCAATCGGCACGCTGCATGTGTCGCTCCTTCCCAACATTTTAGGAAGGAGGGTAAAGGGCATGTTTGGGCGAGAAGTTACGGTCTGACAGACATCTAAGGTTGAGCAGGTGTTAGATTAACTTGTTAATTACTCATTTGTGGCCCAAAGGTAATCGGGCCTTTCGGGAGTTAAGTTTAGGAGATGATAATTGAATGATTAAAATGCAAACAGTTACTCAACCCTCTGTGCAAGCTGTGCCACCCCGTATCATTCAGTGAAGTTAGTGTGAAAGGATTATGTCCCCATCTCAGTGTTCAAACGGGGCTAACTCCCAGTAGCAATGTCTGCTGTTAGTGTGATTACTATTCTTACGTTTGCCTCCAGTCAGTGAGGAAATGACTCTCAGAGAAAGGAGCTACTTCCGAAGGTTGCTGGAGTGTCCTCCCATAGTTGCTGAAGCCAACAAAGCATTTGAAGCGGCGTTCGGTCAGCAAGCCCTTCAAAAGACAGAAGTTACTGTAGCTGTTGTTTCTCAGAAACTAATGTTTGCCTCTCTGGTTCCATGCTTGGAGAATTGTGAAGGTTTTGATTGGTTGGCAGGAGAGTGAGATCCTTGACCTCTGCCATAAGTTCCAGAAACTGAACTACAGTGGTGCAGGGGAATTTCAGTGAGAGACTAAAGGAAAATATGATAGCGGCTTTGCTTACTTGTTTGGGGGCATGGTGAGGGTGATGTTCTAAACCTGGGGCCCTAAGCTGGACGCTTGGTGAAAATGTTGGCGAGAAATTTGGCGGCTGCGATTGGCCAACGCCACACTTGACCTTGGCGCCGGCCAATCATAGCCGTCGAATTTCTCGCCGACTTTTCCGCCAAATGTCCAGATTAGAGCTCCTGAAGAGGTTCACTCAAAGCTGAGTCAACAAGCATGTAGTGCACGAGGTTTAGTGCGCTCATTTTCAATATGTGGAAAAGGGAGAGGTGGATCATAATTGCAAACCTGCTAGGATTGCAGACTGCATCCATTCTCCCTTGACATTACTTTTTACAGCGGAGCTGTGAAGGGCTAGTTTCCCCAGTATCGTGTTCGTCAGCAAACAAATGATGACACGAAACTCTGGACAGCTACCGCCATCTATGAGCGATGGCGGCAACCAGACAACCGGCTTGCCAGTTGTTTGGTTGCCGTCGTCGCTTATAGATGGCACAACCTTTCCAGCCTTTCCACTCTGGCTTGCCGACTTGTGGCCGGCCATTACTTCATTCCAACCATAGTACAGCTTCGCTGGTCTCCCTTCTTCACCAGAGTGAAAAGGTTGAATTTAATACAATTTGTGAGTTGTGAATGTCTATGATTACTTTTTGGCACCATGAAAGCTAGAGTAAAAGTAACCTTGAAAACTGAATTTTGGGAATTTTTTTATTTTAATGTCAGCTGTTTTTTTAACACTTTAGCATCCTGTGATGCATATATTTTTAGCAATTCTGAGCATGCTGCAAATGCCAGGTCAATCCCTATTGAACTATTCCCCCCTAAAATGACAGTAGAGTCAAAGCTATGATCAAAGTTCTTGCTTTAAAATGTGTTAGAAGCGCGTTTGAGCTTTACAAATGGAAGAACCATATGGAGCACTAGTACAAGTCAGTTGTGCTGCTAAACCGTACTTGAAAATTGGAATATATGAAATGGTGTATATAAAGGAGTTCCTAACACAATGGTTAACAGTAGTCTTCATGACAGGCTGAACGAAATAGAGGCAAGTTCGGCTTTTTATCGCCATTGCAGAAGTTTGGGTTCTTGTGTCTCTTCACAACTGTCATTCTGTAAACAACTTATATTTTGCGAAAAAGCTTTTTTTTTTTGCAAAATTAGTGATATAAAAAAAAAAAAAAAGTGTGAGCCATTTTATTTTGTGAAGGTGGTTGGCCAGCAAAGCTGTAGAGCATCGCCACAAATGATTCACCAAGAGACACGAAAAAGCACTTTCCCAAATGTATATTTACAGTATTTATACATCATTTTGAAATGGTAGCGATGATTGCTTTGTGATCACTATGATATACACTAATGGGTTCCATTACAACTTTGGTGAGAATCTTTGCTGAAGTTAAATCTATACATATAATGCTTTACATATGTAAAAGCTGCTGCTTATATGTATGTAAAGCAGTGACGTTACCCGACTCCAGCGAGAGAAGGTTCATTGTTCTCGGATGTATCTCCATTATCACATGTTTTGACGTCTTTCCTTATCCAAGTGCATATTGAGGTGAAGGGGCGTGTATTGATTTCCATACAATGGAGCACTTTTACGTGCAATTTCTGACTTTTGTTTTAGCACATGGATACCAAAAATGCATGGAACCCTAGCCGTATAGAGCATTGCTATAAAATGGCAAAATAGTAACTAATAGAGTGCACATATGAGTTTGCGTCAGCAATAAACGAACGAGGTCAGGTTGACGTAATATTTATGCATTACTCAAAAGCATTTGACGGGGTACCCCATGTTAAATTAGTGAAAAAAATTAAACTTACTGGGATTAAATCAGGTTTTGATATCTTGGATACATTCTTATTTAGAAGGAAGAATGCAGTATGTTAGCTGTAATAAAGTTTTCTTTCCTCCGTTAGCAGTTTACTCAGGAGTACCCCAGGGATCAGTGTTAGGGCCCCTTTTATTCTTAAATTATATAAATGATGTAGCAACAAATTTACCTCCCTTGGTTCAAGTTGTTTGCAGACAACTGTATGGTCTTTTCAAAAGTGGCTAGAGTTCAGGACCAGGAAATTGTCAACCAATCCGTGGAAGAAATCTTCTCGTGGAGTAAGAAATGGGGTATGGTAATTAATTTTGATAAAACTGTCTCTTGCTGTATTACAAATAAAAAAAGGTCTTAGACTTCCGCTATTCTATAGGCGGCATCGAACTTAATAAACTAGAAGAATTCAAGCATTAAAAAGTTATTTTAGCTAATACCTTGCGCTGGAATAGTCACGTGGATTACATATGCGCCAAGGCTTATCAGAAGCAAGGCTTTCTTAGAAGGCATCTTAGACATGCAAATAGAGATGTTCGATTAGCTGTGATAAATGTTATGTGCGCCCAATGTTGGAATACGCGGGGTGCGTATGGGACCCGTACAGGAAGCAGCAGGTTGCGCAACTTGAATGGATACAGAGTCTGGCACTAAGGTTTGGTTTTTCTAAGTATAGGTGGTACCGAGTCAGTTACGGCAATGAGAAATGAAGTGCGGCTTGATTGTTTAGAGAAAAGAAGGAAAGTGTGTAGATTAAAGGAATTATATGCGGTGGCTAATGGCTTGACAAAGATTAATCCTGAAGTGTACATTTTACCTTCAACATCACGCTCCAAAAGAACGAGCAATACTAAAGCAATTGCACCCTACCAGTACAGAAATGATGTCTTTAAATACTCTTTCTTTTGTCAAACTATTATTGAGTGGAACCCCCTGCCAGAGCAAGTTGTCAATTGTTGTAGTCCTGAATTATTTGAAGCACAGCTGAATGAATTGTTTAGTAAAGTTTTGCATGTGGAAATGTATATTTTGAGTATGCGTGGGTAGCTGCAACCTACCTGCGCTCGCTTCACACGGTGAGTGCATGGTTGAGTTACTTATTTTCTGTGTTGTTTTTTTCCCTCTTCTGTGTAGACAGACAGGTCCACAGTATTTCAAATAAAAACTAAAATAAACATTGATCACACGAATATGTTACCCCGGTGGGTTTTCAATCACCAATGTTTCAGGTACCCCTTCTGGATTGGCAGAAGTGATGGGGGACCCCGTACCCGGAGGGGGAGGGGGGTGTTGCACAATTAATATTGGAAAAAAGTAAATGAAGACTAACGGCATCTAAACGAACCTCGAAGCTATGAGACGGAGAATAATCGACCCTACCGACTCAGTGCACATGGCGCTCGACTTGACCAAAAGTTGGGGGCTTGGTGAACAATAGAAAGGCCTTTAGAGACCCCAAAGAGTCTGCAGAACTCTTATTTGAAAACCAATCCATTGCCCAGTGCTAGCAAATACATCGTCCAGCGCTTTCAATTGGAAACTTTTGCACCCACCAAGTAGGTATCTCTGAAACTCACGTTTTGCAAACTTTGTGAAATATGGTGCTTGCAAAAATAAAGTCTTTTAAAGTATTTACCTTACAAGTAGGGTTTCGTGTTCTCGAGGTTTCATTTTTTCCCATATGTTCGGTGTTTTTTTATGCAAAGTTTTGGTATTGAACAAAAAATCTAGGTTTGTCGGGGCCGATAGTGAAGAAAATGGGGCACTGGATTGCCCAAGCATTGTGGAACACGGGCATGACCCGCACACTTGGAAAACTTCCTTGTACCGCTAAGAGAAGGGAACGAGATAAGGTGTCTGGTTGCGAAGCTTGGCTTTTTTTTTTTTTGTTTTGTTTGAGGACAGCTTCAGTTTGGGGGTTTTCGATTTTCCCATTTAGATCAAACTGGCTATAGTAAGTTACAGCTCAAGGAGGTAGGGCGAGAGAAAGGAAAGCTGGGGAGGAAGAAGCAGATGGAATGTTGGAGAACAGAGGGGGAAACCTCCTCCTCTCTCCAATGTTCTGTCTGCTTCCTCCTCCTCCCCCCGGCCTTCCTTTCCCTCGCCTTACCTTCTGCAACAAACTATAGGAGGTTAAATTTTAAGGCGCGTTGGTATATTGGAAACACGGAATCCTAGTCGCCGTTCCACGAGGGGTAACAACACCGGGCTTATAACATGATCCCGTGGTTCTTGAGCTATTGCTCTCTCTTCCAAATGGCTTGTCTCGCAGCATAGTGGCCATTCCGATCTACGTGCGTCACCAGATCACCTTCAGGGAGGCCGGAGGGGGACGCATGGACATCACCCTTGGCCCCAAGCAGACCATGGGCAAGCCGGTGAGGCCCCGGAAAAGGTTTATAGTCGACGCTGTTTGATCCAATCAGGTTGCACGGGGGACTTCCGATACAGCAAAAGCTTGTTGTACAAAATCTGAGCATGCTACCTGATTTGAGCACATGCTGGGCATCGCTGTTGCATGGTCAAACTCTCAACAATATTTAGTTACAGGTTGAAAAAAGTATTCGAGGGAAAAGAGGGGGGGGGGGGGGGGGGGGGGGGCAGGATACGAAGAAGCAAATGAAATGCTGGTGAGGAAAGAAGGTAACCTACTCCTCTCCAGCATTTCGTCTGCTTCCTCCTCCTCAGCCTTCGTTCCCCTCAACAACTTTTCTTAGCCTGTAACTGACTATAGCAGCCTGGAAGTGCAAAATGGATATGGTGAAGATTTGCAGAACTTTGCATTCATAAAAAAAAAAAACGTGTTGCTTTAACTTTTTTGTGTGTCTAATACGGTGCAATCCACTTAGATAACAGTAATGAGAAAACCTGGAAATTCAATCGTTGTGACCGATTATCATTGTATCTGGACTAGCAACTGATCGTTCCTAGTTTAGAAGCTCTAGAAACTGATCGTTATAAGTGGTATGTCATTATATGTGGTATTGTTATAAGTGGACTGCACTGTATAGTGCCTACAGTTGCTATAAGCAGGTGTGCAGACAGTATAAAAAACAAAAATGTTGGCAAATTAAAAAAAAAAAAGGTTTTTTATCAAAATGTCTTAACTTTTTGAGGTTTTGTACTATGTACTATTGATTTTGCACCTTTGTTATTTTCATTTGTTTATAAAGTTAGAGTGATTATTTTTCATTTCTAATACTTACATCAGACCCCTTTTGCCAACTGTTTCTTAAACAAGCCAGGAAATGACATTGGTTAAAAATGTAATAAACTGCATGTTCTGTAACATTACGTCAGCACATTAGGACATAGGGTTAATACACCAGAAACTTTGTTTTGGTTTGGATATTTAAAGGAGCTGTGCAACGATTTTAACGTTGAAAGAATTGGCATCTTCTACTTTTGACATTGTTTACCTCGTCAGAAAGGACAGAAAACACATCTCCTTCCTTTGAAATGTTGCGATTCCGCCGCGTAATCACGAGGCAAAAATTAGAATATTTGCTGACCTGGGCATGACATTAATGGGGGACTTGTAAAAGGATAGCAAGTTGTGCAAATACCCGCTCAATAAAAGGTAATTTTTCTAAAAATCTTGTCGTTCCAACATAAATATAAATGTGTCAAAAACCTGGTATCATCAACAAAACTCTGATTTTTCAGAGTTTTAGTGGCGCCATCTATCCGAGGTCAACCAAACCGTCAGCTCTATCTGCTACCGTGAACAGCCGCCGGAATCCGGAGGGGGACGGGGGCAGAGCCGGACGGGGATGGCCAGACTCGGACGAGTCTTTCCTCCTTTTGCCATGTTGATTGCGCTGCGCAAGCATGTGGTCACGTGGTCGCGAGCGGATGAGTTCTCGCTGCTCACTGATGGCTCTAGAGAGAGCTTCACCGGAACCCCGCACGTCCCCCATTCACGTCACAGTGCATATGACTCTGTACATGGTAAAGGTTTTGAGAGGCGCCGAAAACCTCAATCTTTGTCAATTTTTAAAATAAAATACTAGGACATGCAGGCAAAAGCAGTTTCTTGTTCTTCACTTCAAAAAGGTCGAGACACCAACTCCCAACTTATTTAAAGGGCAACTCCGCTCAATTCCGAAAAATTTAGGCTTCCATGTGATTCAAATCCACAAAGCACTACTAAACAACTCTACGTCTTCGGATTCGCGACATGTGGAATATTATTTGTGTAATCCTAATTTAAACATCAGCTGATACCGAAACCGAAACTTTGTTTGCGTCAGGCAACATTGGTCTCCGGTCGTCAGAGTCATGGCCACGTCACGTCGAACCACGTGGTCTTGTGACGTTCGGGAGGGAGTGAGAAACAGGACACGCAACGCAAGCAGGTCTTTTTTTTTTTATTTTTTTTTTATTTGACGCGGGCAGGTCGCTTTGCATGGCGTGGACGGTGATGGCCCGGGGGAGAGGGGGAAGGGGAGAAGACGAAAGAGGAGAAAGAGCAGCGCAAACTAGCGCATCCGTGTTACGGTGATCACGTGAACGCCCTGTCAGCCAACACCGGGAGGAGAAACTCGTGACGTCATCATTCAATTTCGCTCTGAGAAGTAAAAACAAGCAAAACGTGAGAATGACGTAGTCATGCCTCCGACGTAGTGGTTCAACGTTGGCCGCTCCAACTCCGTCGCATTGACTGCGCTGACGATTGCGGCTCGCGCCGCACGCTAGAGTTGGCACATTTCGGCGACTTGGCTCGCTTGAAGGTTTGCTGGCCAGTTTATTAAATATATAAACGGAATTAGATCGTAATATTTGACATGGGGTCTTCCTATATTATACTGAAGAGGGCTACATAGTTTTCTAAATATCAAAAATAAAGCAGAGTTGCCCTTTAAGCAAAGCACTGAAATTGTTGGACAGCTCCTTAGAAACAATAAGAGCGGTCTCTTTTCGCTTTTTCATAGAAAGGTTTTCAAGTTTATTGTGACTTGACCAGGGCAAGTGCCATACTGCGCAGTCTCTTCACCTTAGCTTGTGCATTTATCTGTGACGTCGGAACACTACATTAAATCCAGCTCACAAATTGGTTATTAGCATAGTGTCATTGCTTAGGTCAGGGGTCGGTAACCTCTTGCTTCAGCTTGCCAGATCGCCGCAACAAGAAGAACGGAATGGGCCGGATAGAAAAAAGGGAAATAAAAAAGAAAACCTTTACTACAAAAAAGCAAAACAAACAAACACCTGTTTCCGGCTTGAAGTAGTATGGAACAAAGTTTTCTTCATTCACGCACACATAACGTAAGGTCGCTGGAGACCTTTCTCGGTGAGGTTTATAGGTGTTAAAAAATTGTTTGCCAAGAGGCAAACATTAACTCAGAACATTAGCCCCTAACCCTTTAACTGCAGACTTCCACAATGAAGAAATATTGGCAAAATGGGGACTTTTTTTGTCCCCGTTTTGCCAATATTTTTTAGTGCCACACATACCTCGTCAAGCTTTTTTTGTGTTGCCATCAATGCATTGATTTCTAAAGCAAAACTATTTCCAATGTTTGGTGGTAGATGGCACTTCCTCCCGTGCTATAAAAGGAGGGAGTGTTTAAAGGGACACTGACAAAGTATTGATGCTCGCCAAGGTTTTTATTTGTATATGACATTTTAGAGCCCAACTGCCGAGAACACAATTTGCGGCTCGAAATTCGTTTTCTTTCCGCCCGAAAACCACCGATCGAGAACTGGCTGGTTTGTGTCGTGCTCACTCTCTTCTTTGTGGTCCTGGGCCGTTTTCTAAGGTTTAGACACAACCACCAAATTTGATCAAAGTTGTGGGTCATTGAAGGCACACACTCAATAATACAAATAGAAAAAAGGATGAAACTAATTTTTTGTGGCTTCTAAAAAGCTGCAAATACGTTGATTAAAAGAAGAAAAAAAAAGTTGCACAGAGAATTGCAAACATTCTATGCATTCACTGCGTGAATCTCAACATGGCGTCTTATCGCATATCATGGGACTTGTGGGCTGGATGGCGATGGCGGCGGACGACATGCATAGGACCTTTACCTCAGAACTGTCGTTTGCGGTACCGGCGAATATGTCTTCCTTCGAAAAGGAAATTTTGGACCAATCAAAACAATTGAGATTTTGTACGACATGCCCGACCACCAAACCGATTTGCACGAAGACATTGCCAAGTCGTCGCCCCTTCTTGTGACTGAAGAGATCGCTCGGGCAGTTGTCCCCCTATTGGGTTTCGTATAAAATGGTTTGCCAAAACGACTATTCAAAGCTGTAGAGTAGCTCACTGGAAAGGTGTCCACTTCGCACACAGTGGACCCAGGTTCGGTCCAGAGAGCGGGCAAACTGTTTTTTTGTTTCTTTCTTAAACGTTTCGCAAATTTGTTCAGACTCTGCCGCACAATGCCACTTTTGGATGCGGGACATGTGAGGCAGCTCTTCACGCAACATCCTGTGGGCATTCTTTTCAGAGCCGATCACGGGCATTCACCACGGGCACTCACTACTCATTTCCAACTCTTCAGTGTACAAAACAACTTATCCTGAAGTGCAGAACAGTGAGCGGAACAAACATAACTGCAAAGCAATCGCACGGCGAATGATACCTGCAATGCTGTAATGTCGTCTGCTGATCGGGTCAGAAAAAAGAAAAAACTGAGGAAGAAAACAAAGAGCGCGGTCGGGTGTAGCTACTTGACTCCTCTATATTTCTCCAGCCTCCGTATGCAGGTTTTGGTTTCGAGCAGTTGCGTTTCTTGGCTTTATTAAAAATATACGTGGCTGTGTAGCAAAATATTAATTGGGTAGTCTTCTGACCCCATATTGAATCGCCTGGCAAAAAGTCAAAAACATTTTATGGGGCATGTCAGTGTTCCTTTAAAGACGTCCTTTCTAGGACCAACTGAGGAGCGGTGCGTCTATAGACGCGGCCCCCAAGCTGCGGTCAAAATTGTTGCGCGTCTAAACACATGCTCCCCAGTTAGGGGTTAAGTGAGAGACATAAAACATTTTGGATGTGCTCACTTGTCACCCGCAAGGCCCAGATTTAACTTCGCTGTCACTATTAAGGAAAAGTATTGTCTCTAATTTAAGTACATGCTATAGCCAACACTCCAATCAAGGCCGCTGCGAGATTTTGTCGATACGAAAACTTCAATCAATGGAGGCCAGTGTAATACTTGACTTCATTTGCTGCAAGTGCACTCTTAAGCTTATTTTTCTGTTTGAGGATTAGCCGATCCCCTCACAGACAATAAAGAACAAGAATAAATAACTAACAGAATTAAACAACAAGTTTTTTTCTATACTTGGTATGGAGTCATTGGAAAATCATTCACTGTTTGTCATTAGGGCATTTAAGGACAAAAAAGTGAATGAGAGCAAACTCAGAATTAATTTCTTTACTCTCTTCATTTTTTGTGTGAAAGAAGAAATATCCCAAATGTGCACCATGTTTTTTTACGTTGGCAACCCCATGTTGGTCAGTAGGAAAATTATGATATTTAGTTGTAACTTTTGCTTGTGGCAAATTTGCTCTTTGACATTAAAAGGAAAAATAATTCCACCAACCAGCCACACCTTTGTGCTAAATTACAGTGTCAGAGCAGGCAAAACCGGTCTATGATATTTCAACATTGTAAAACCCGAGATGTAGGAAAAAATGAGAAGAAAAAAGGGTCTCGGGTTTTACAATAAGTTCACCAGCTCGCTTGCATCTTCTCTGTAGTTCCTACGATATTTATTTGAGGTGGGTTACATCTATTTGGTCCTTGTGGGATATCAGTGCTACTAGTTTAACTTTTTTGCAGGACAATCCAGACACTGCTTCCAAAGGTTTAACTCCCATTATTGGAAGTGCCAAGCTTTTGGCACTTTGAACTGTTATAGTAACTCGACAGAATAGACGAGTTTCAAAGCACAGCATCTACTAGATGGCACTTCACCATATCCACTCCAAAAAATGCAGTTTTGAAGCACGGCTTCTAGATGGTGCTTCAATATAACGACTGGGTTTCACGAATACGACGCCAGTCCCAGGAAATACCCTTAATGGAGCTGTGCAACAATTTCAGTGCTTTGCCTAAATAACTTGGGAGTTGGTGTCTCAATTTTTTTGAAGTAAAGAACAAAAAACTGCTTTTGCCTGCACGTCATAGTTTTTATTTTAAAAATGGACGAAGATTGAGGTTTTCGGCACCTCTCAACTTCTTCACCATCTTCCGAGTCACGTGTGCTGTGACATGAAGGGGGACGCTCGGGGTTCCGGTGAAGCTCTCTCTCTGGAGCCATCAGTGAGCATTGAGAACTCACCTGCTCGGGACCATGTGACCACGTGCTTGCGCAGTGCGATCAACAAGCCGAAAGGAGGAAAGTCTCGTCTGGGTCTGGCCATCTCCTTCCAGCTTCTGGCAGCTCCTCGCGGTAGCAGATAGAGCTGACGGTTTTGTTGACCTCGGATAGATGGCGAAACTCCGTATAATCAAAGTTTCTTCGATGATACCAGGTTTTTGACACCTTTATATTTATGTTGGAACCACAAGATTTATAGAAAAATTATCTTTTATCCGGCAGGTATTTGCACAACTTCCTATCTTTTTACGAGTCCCCCATTGATGTCACGCCGCTTGGCTCTAATGGCCGCCACACCCGGCTGCAGGCCGGGAAATATTCTAATTTTTTGCCTCGCGATTCAGGCGGAATCGCAACATTTTAAAGGAAGGAGGTTTGTTTTCTCTCCTTTATGACAAGATAAACAGTGCCAAAAGTAGGAGATGGAAATTCTTTCAACAATAAAATCAATGCACAGCTCCTTTAAGGGTGGAATCGACTGAGTCGGTGGGAACACCTGCACGACGGGCACAGCCTCCCCAGCAATGGAGAGGAACAACAATGGGCTGCGCGTGCAGCATGTTCATGCAACGAAAACAAGACTGGAACACTGTGGTGAAAGATTCTCGACAGTTGAAGATAATCATTTAAGTTTTTTTTTTAGTCAGTTTTGGCTAGGGCACAATTTCATGAGCATGCCCACTACAAAGGGAAAGCCGCATCATCATGATCATTGGCGTCGTAGTCATCGTCATCAACACTGCCACCACCATTATCATCATAATCATCATCCAAAGAAAACAGTTGAGGCACATCTTCCACAGGGTAGTTCTGCAACTGAATTGATCTGTAGACCGACACTCCGCTGACAAACAAGCCAGCAATTGCCCACGCCAGGTTCGGGCACTGCACATGCACAGAAATTAGACTTGCGTGAAGTGAAACGTCTACGCCGTGTTGACAGCAGCGCCACCGTAGTTGCACAATGTCAGAGTGGCGCGTTGTTGTGTCGTCACTGAGAGCTTAAGAAACGCGGGGCGTGGCGAGTTCCAAGCATCTTATCACTGCCCCTCGACCAGTGAGCCTGGGGCCTCGGCTGACAAGAAACCCGAAGAATGAATCGCGAGACAAGGAGCGTGATTGCAGTACTAAGCCACGCCTTCCGTTCCTCGAGCTGCCGGTAACTATGAATAATGTTGCCACATGCGTGGACGAGGCGTGGACGATGTTGCGTTGGACGGATGACAGGTGGACGACGTGGTTCTGGAGATCCCGATGGGCAAGGCAGTGCTGAACGTGACGCTGGTGTGCAGCCAGGGCAAGTACTCGTTCGACCCGGTCTCCAAGAACCTCGTCTGGGAGGTGGGACGCATCGAGCCGGGGCGCCTGCCCAACCTGCGTGGCACCGTGAGGCCCCTCTTTCGTGCTCATTTTGCACTTGTTTCCGGTACCTCGCATGCCCTGTGAAAGTCGGGAAGGGTAACAATAAAACTGTTATGTTATTAAAGGAAATGCAAAAACAAATATTAAAAAGTGGCCTCTCTAAGACTTTTGTTGTTGGGCATTCGAGGGTGAAATGCGTTACCATAAAATACCTCGGAAGCACCCACTTAGTTCAAGCGCCCACTACTAATGTGCTGCAAACTCGGGAATTCTGCAAATTATACGTTAAGCGTACAATTCTACCGGGCAAGTGCCCATGTCTAGTTTAATGCTGTTTTCACTGAAAGTGGGGGGTGCTCTCCCGGTATTTTATAGTAGTCGTAGCTAGAATATTTAATAAACCCTTTCCAAAATTCAGTCGGCCACTTTGACCACTATTGTCATCTGCAGTATGGCATCTGTGCTTTACTAATGGCGACCTTCTAGCGACTGATATGAAGGAAGCGGTTGAAGATGGTGTCCAAGCGAATGATGCAAAACCTATATATTCGAGACTTTGCTACAATGTGATGCATGAATTGAGTATAAGAGCTGCTGTAGTGTTTTGATTTGATTGATGACAGTTCTGTAACAATGAGTATTTACGGGGATTAACCAGGGTTACATAATTATACTAGCGAGTCTCCGTGCGGCAGTCTCTCTGCCTCCATCCATGGTGCCCAGATGGTGATAACGTTAACATTGATCTTGCTGTTTTATGAAAACGGAACAAACTATGAAACAAAACAATACAGCTGCTTAAGCGTTAATTTATAACTTGGGTCCAGTCAGTCTGTTGACACAATTGGCGCTAAGGCCCCTTGATGTCTAAAATTTTGTCAGTATGGGTTGGCACTTTGTTCTGACTGGTGGAATCTTTGTCACCATAAAACCTGAAAAAGATAGAGAAAGAACTGCGCAATAAAAAAACAATATTGTCTGCTGTTGACTTACGAAACTGACGGTGCTTGATGGAGTGCTAGATGTTCACTACGGCCATTAGTACGACATAAGGTAAACCGATGTTTGAGCCATCAGATAGCACTGTATTTTGGACAGAATTTATGAGAGGATCAACAATGGGTTTCATAACTTCTCATTCTAATTCAAAATGTGCCTTTCAGCTTAATTGAGTCTGCAACGAAACTCTAGTGCCTATTTTATTATCTAAATGTCAACCACGTTCTGGCCACACCACGGAGACACCAGTTGTTTGCTCGAGAAGACGCCGAAAGATTACTTAAAGGGAATAAACCGAATGTCGTTTTGTCGCTCTTACCTTAAAAGCTGGGTGCGCGTGAGCCCTGTCAAATTGGATTTCCGTCCCCTCCCAGCCTATTCAGCTCCTGTGGGGAGCGGGGAGGGGCAACTAAAATATGGCCAGGTTGTAATGCTTTGACGGCACCAAGTGGCGGAGTTCATAACCACGCCAGCCCCCAAAGCTTTGCCCCTTGTCAGTCTAATTGACGTCACGTCTCCTGCGATGCATCGCACTCTTTGATGGCTGATCTTCGAGTGCTTGCTGGAATTGGTCCTTTAGGATGAAACATATAGCCATCCGTTCAAAATGCCAGCGTGCGATTGTCATTAGCAGATAGAGTTGATCATGTTTAACTTGTTTCTGAACGTGGGTGATATATTTTAAGTTTTGATTCAGTATCCTTTTAAATGTTGTAGTAAAAAATGTTTGGGGAGAATATTAATTTGGCGATATTCATTTCGTATCCAAACACTTAAAAAAAAGTTTATCGAGAATTCAGTTTTTTTCAAAAATAGTGTATTATTTGAAACTATGCGCTTCAAAGATCTAACAAAGAGTTATAAAAGCTAGCGACGAAATGAATCTTCAGCTGCAGCGAAATTGTCCAGGCGTGAAAAACAACCAGTGTTACCACGGCTGAATCGGTGAGAGGAATGGCAACTAGGCACCACTCCACAATTATGCACAGAATTCAGTAGCGAAAAATCGGCAGTCATGATTTTTAACGAGGATGAAGTTGAGAGGCTGAAGATACAGAATATTACAGTTGAGAGAGCTAGTAAATACAAGTATCTAGGAGTATGGATATGTGATGGTGCAGAATATCTCAGACAGCATGAAAAGTATATAATAGGTAAGGGCAACAGAAATGCAGCTGTAATGAAAAATATAGCACTTTGGAATTACAACAGGTACGAGGTGGTGAGAGAGATTTGGAAAGGGGTCATGGTGCCTGGCTTGACTTTTGGAAACGCAGTGCTATGCATGGAATCCGAAGTGCATGCGAGACTAGAAATAAAACAGCGCGGAGTAGGTAGACTGGCTTTGGGGGCACATTGCAAAACGCCAAACCAGGGAGTACAAGGAGACATGGGATGGGCGTCATTTGAGAGCAGGGAAGTGGTGAGCAAGATAGAATTTGAGGATAGGTTGAGGCAAATGGATGGGGAGCAATGGGCACGAAAGGTTTTCAGCTATTTATACATGAGGAGTGTAGACACAAAGTGTAGACAGCGCACTAGGAAATTAAGTGGAAAGTTTTTGGGCTGTAGCGAAAATACGGAAGAGCAAGTCTCAGTTAAGAAGAAAGTTAAGGCCACAGAAAGAGATCGGTGGCTAGAGGGAATGCAGACAAAGGCGGCTCTGGAAAGCTATAGATTAAACAAAACAGTTATTGCCAAAGAAAGCATTTATGACAATTCTAGGGGAAGCTCATTGTTATTTGAGGCGAGGACGGGTGTTCTGCGAACCAGAACATACAGAGTGAGGTACCAGGAAATGGATACAGTGTGCACTGCTTGTGGAGAGGAGGACGAGACGGCTGAGCACTTGATACTCTACTGTAAAGGGCTTCACCCTATGCCTACCGAAGACAACATAGATTTAATAAAGTCATTGGGTTTTAAAGACAGCGAAGGGAGAGTGGATTTCAAGACTGTAGAGATTACCAAGCAAAGATTAAGTGAATGGTGGCAGAAATCGAGAGAAAACTAGGTATTTTCTTATTCGCTGATGGCAAGGGGGTTTCATAGCCTCACTTTCTTTGTACTGCGGAGTGAATATAGATTTCACATTTAAATATTCTAAGCTTAAATGGTAAAACAAAATGGCTAGGTGGCGTAAGCTACCGCCCGATCCAAAGGGCTCAGCCGTATTCATCCATCCATCCATCCATCCTTTAGGCTTTGTTAACATGGTCAAATAACTTGTGCCAGGGGAGATCAGGCTACGAAACATGGCAGCTGTCTTTAGTTTGGCCAATCAATATTAGTGGAGGAAATTGTCTCTATTACAGTGTAATAGTAAATGCGTTTATTATCGGTCATTGGATAATTCGCTCAAAAATGTGAACTGCCAGAGACACTTCTTGAATGCTTTGAGCATTGTGTCAACACCTCTTTGGTAAGGTGATTGGTAATTTCTGGATGTGCTCGGTTATATCTTATCGTGCCAGGTGTGTGAGAATGCTTGCCTATGTAAACCTGTTTGCCTCTCCCTAAAATTATGAGAAATTGTCACTTTATTGTTTGTGCAAATCTCTTTTTTTTTTAGATCAATCTCCAGACCGGATCACCACCGCCAGATTCAAACCCAACCATATCCGTAAGTGATTTTGCCTCCCGACAACTTGACAAAGTGCTCGTCGGAAGTGGGCATGCAATCGCGTCACGACACTCGTTTTAGGGCAGCAAGAAATAGCAAAAGAAGACGCCAGTTCATCGCTTTGTTTATAGACTCGAGCGGGAACTTCAGATACAGGTTTCTGAGATTATTCGTTTTTCATCGCAATAATGCAGTTTTCAATCTTTAAAGTGTGAGGGTGATGTCTAGGAGTCCTTTCCAGACACTCGGGACAGTATGACAAACAATCGATTTCGGGGTTTCGGTGCCCCTTTTCGACTGAATCTGCGTGTGAGCAGTTTTGCGTGGCAATGAACCACGCACGTTTCCAAACGTGACACCCCGTTCTGTCGCTTGCCTCGGCAGATTCAGTTCACCATCAATCCACTGGCCGTGTCCGGGCTCAAGGTGAACCGGCTGGACATGTACGGAGAGGTGAGACCTTGTCGGACACCACCCGCGTACAAAAAGAGCGAGACCGTCTGCAGTTCAAACTGCGGGGGAGCGTACTTTCCGGGTGGCCTCGATTTCACGCACGGGGACGTTGGTGGCACCGCTAAGATTGGTTCACACACTTGTGTCCGAGTGTGTTTGACTGCGCCGCAATCGCTCGTGACTGTTTACGACGAGACGAGACGCTGGTGCTATCCGTCGGTTGGCCCCGGGACACTTTTGACGTGCACATATTTCACGCATCATTCTTTGACCACGTGCTCAAAATAATTGTGGCAATGTCACAAACATTAGTTTCTCATAAGTTATGCCTAGATTTTATCTCTCAGATATGCCGGAAGACCTTCGGTCTTGTTGTGTGCAGATAGAAAGTTGTTCCAGGGCTACCCGGCAGGTGGCACCACTGTGCGAGTGCGTTCTTTCACAATGAATCGTCGCACGCACATTTGCGTTTGAGTGCGATGGAACGCATCGCACTCAAACGCAAATGTGCGTGCGAGCCAGCCTATAGGGGGTTTCAGTTAATAAGGCAGTGGCTCGCTGCAGATGCCTTTGCCTTTCTATAAAAGCATCCTGGGGCACATTCGTTGCTTCATTTGTGCGCGAGCATTTTCTGGCTGGCTACAGTTGCGGGCACGCACTCTTTGGTCTGTGATATAGTCATTGCAACTGTGATTTTTGTAGACAGTGCAATTGTCTACACCCTGTTTACCTTTTTCATTGGCTAGGAGCCAAAGCTAGAGGACTGAATTGATTACACTGGCAGTTTTAACACAGGAGCGGTTGAAATGCATTAATTTTGCGAGGTTCAATCCAATCAACTGTGATACTCAAAGCCGTAACATTATGCTATAGCATGTGGGCAACCAAGTGACACAGGAGTTTCACCCCTGTTCGTTGCGTGTAAATTGATAGCTAGATCCTCTTTTATCACAATGCTTGGAGTGGGAGAGACAACTTTGTTTGATTGCTGATCAAAGTAAGTTGTTTGACCGTGATTTTACTTTTCTCCACTCAATTCACAGAAGTACAAGCCCTTCAAAGGTGTCAAGTACGTGACAAAGGCTGGAAGATTCCAAGTGCGAACGTGAAGCTTTGGAGACAATAGTTGCATTCCTGTCTTACCAGAGATGTATTATTTTTCTTTTACGTCGCCTTTCTACTCTGTCACATCTGATTTTGCAGTGTACAGCAGCCCAAGTATAGAGCTTCTCCAAGGGTTATTGCAATCTTGTTTGGGGAGAAGCAAATTAATCTATCTAATTGTGCAGAAATATATTCTTTAATTCTGACATTCAGTGCGTGTAGTAATCTTGATAAATATATATATCTTCATTAAATTGCCAGTACATCATCTTCCTCCGAGCAAAGTGCAACATTTGTAAAGTATGATGGGTGATGTGTTGTGCGTTTGCTAAATATGTACAATATTAAAATGGTTCAATGAATTTCCTTTTATCTCTCCTTAGTACATTTGAGATGTGTTTACACATTTTGTTTCTATTGGAGGGTTGTAGACAAGAAATGTAGTTTGTTAACTGTTACTAACCTCTCGAGTTGTTGCGGGGCATTCACTGTGCCAAAGTGTGTTAGTGCCTCAGCTCGGAGCACGTGGAGCAAAAGCTTGCGCTGTGAATCTTGGGCTCGATCCCCCCCCCGTCTTCACTCAGTCCGATCTGAATGAGCATTGTACCTGCATGCAGTCATGGATCACCACTGCGTGATACATGCCAACAGACCACAAGCAAGTGGTCATTATGCACCGACTAAATTTCTTGTCTACAGCATGCAACTATCGTCCCCATACATTGGCAGGCTGACCTCACGCTGTCTAAACACCAAACATCTAATTTTCTGTTTTATTTTCGTTCTTGTTACCTTTTGCACTGCCTTAGACTTCCAATATAAAATGAAAGTTTTAAAACTAATACATTTTATTATTTGCCAAATGTTTAGACAGACAAAAATGCTACGGCTTATTCTAACTGGAGACACTTGAATAATGTTCTTCACAAATGGCTAAGAAATAAGTGTTGTCTCGTAAACTGTTAGTCGTAGTGTCTCATAGCTCCGTGTGGTACATTCCAATGCTATATTTCTATAGCTGTCATACAGGATACAGCCCATTCGTCACATGACCATTTGTCACTGGACACTCAACAACAGAGTGATTTGTAACAGTGGGGAGTTTGTCATGATGGGTTTCTTCATGGGGATAATAGTTTGCTTAGTTTGAAAATTGTGCCTGGACTTAAAAACACTGTTTCAGTAAATTCGCTTCGACTTTAAAATGCTAAGATAAATTCGCTTCGACTTGAAAATGCTAAGATGTTCTGAAAGGTAAAGTCAAAAAGTTTTTACTCACCTAAAGAAAAAGCTTGAAGAATTTCCACCGACGCACTAGCACAAAAAAATCACATGACGCATAAGAAGGAAACAAGCACAGCAAAGAAATTCACAATCCAAAGAGCTATGCAAAAATAGACCAGAGGAAATACCAGGGAAAGTGTGAGGAAATAATTCCAAAATAAAGGGCACAATTTACTCTACTTGTGTAAACATAGCATGAGGGGCGGTACGCCCCTCATAACATGTATACATATGGATTAATATTGATATTGACTTACAAATACTTTTTTTGCTGCAGATACTAGCCACTTAGGGGTCTGTACATACCCCTTCTCGACAGACTCCCTGGAGCCAAATGCCCTTTTTCCACCTGTGTGACAGCCTCTCCATTCCCTGCTGGAAACATTACCTGGAGTGCCTCACACCCACACATGGAGAACTGCTTCCAGTTTATTAATGACCATGAAATGGCGTCCTCATTGTTTGTTTTTTTATGCCACCCGACAGGTGATAACCACTTCCATGCGCGGCCAAACGCCTGACTGGTCGTACGACGTGCCGTAAAGACAACCGAAGCCGTTAAAACGCCGCCCAATCACGGCCTCGCGTGAATGCGCACGGCGCAGTGATTGACCTGCGCCTGATGGGTCTGGCCGTCTTTCTGACATATCATGCAACTATTGGCACGTCTGGTCGTGTACCGCTATGGCCTGATCGGGCCCCCAGTGGTTATGCACGTGTTGTGTGGCACAAAATAACCCTTTGTGAAGATGGCATTTCGCAGACTTTAATAAGCTGGAAGCAGCTGTCCAGATGTGGGAGTGAGGAACTCCCAAAAAGTCGTTCCTGCAGGCCATGAAGAGCCTGCTACACAAGTGGTGCAAGGGCATGTGGCTCCAGGGGGAGGCCGTAGAAAAGGTAGACATATGTACAGGCCTCCAAGTGACTGGTATCTACAGCAAACAAAATAAAATGTAAATTAATATGGTACACCCCTCATGCTTTGCTAGTATGTGTCCCTTAACTAACACTTCTGTGCACTTTGTAAGGGGAATATACCTTGTGGTGAGTTCACCTATGACAAGTTTCCCGATATGAGCAGTTTGCTTGTTACTGGTTCACCAGATGCGTCTGCATTCTGACGAAAACAGACCTAGCTATATCAACATTCCTATATTGAGCTCATTCAGCAGTTTTATGGAGTTGGAATATTAATTAGATAGTGGCCTCCAATATTGGATATAATTTATACACTTTAACTTTTCTTTGCAGTCATGCAACCATTTTACTGCTCTGTGCATGATTAAAAAACAAAACTGCTTGATTTTAATAACATTAAGGCAGTCATAATTTGTGCATATCTGACAAATATTTGTGTGCCTCGTATGGGTAGTTGTTTTTATGTAGTTATCTTTCATTGCAAGAGGCTGCGTTTTCACAAACAAGTAACAGCTCTCTTGGTAGATATGTGTGGAGGGCCCATGCACCAGTCTCCCTTTGCACTGGTTACAGAACATGGTTTGCGAGCTACATTTTGTATACAGTTGCCTGCAATACGAAAGAATCACTGGGAGCGTGTGGCCGAGATGGTGGCTGGCAAGGGCGCTGCGCAGGGTCTGGGTGATTCTATTCCGCCCTGAGTGGAAGACACACAGGGGAGGAGTGAGGCTGGAGTTGGCTCAGTTAAAAGTTTTGCAGCAAAGAGCAGATCGTCAGCGTTCTGCCACGATTATTTATTTATTTATTTATTTCAAATGCCTTTAAGGTAGTAATACATTGAAGAGGGGAGTGGACATCAAAATAATAATTACAATGTGCACATGTTAGTTAGAACTCTCTTAAACAAAACAATATCAGTAATGTTAGCTATTGAGGCGGGACGGTGATTCCAATCCAATGATGTTTGGGGAATAAAAGAATATTGAAACAATGAAGTTTTAAAATTTGGCACACCGACTTTATGACTATGATCAATGCGAGCAGAGATGTAGAATGGTGGGATAATTAGTTTACGACGAAGGTCAGCATTTTGATGAAATATTTTATGGAAAAGACACAAACGAAAGATTTTACGGCGATGCGTTAGTGATCGCAGGCCTAAAGAGGTTTTCATGCTAGAAACGCTGGCAGTGCGGTGATAGTTCGACATGATAGAACGGGCTGAACGGTTCTGGACAGATTCAATAAGGGAAATTAGTGAAGGGTGTGAGGGGTCCCAGACAGGGCGGCGGCATATTCTAATTTTGGGCGAATTAGACTTTTGTACATGGTCAGTTTCAGAGAGGACGGAGCGAGAAAGAAATTTCTTTTAAAGGGGCCCTGCAAGCATATTTAAGCGCCTACCTTTTTTGCGGTTTCCACGTCTCTTGGGGTCCGGGCAAGCCAGTGGGCACGGATAGAGTAACTAAATATCAGTGCGCCATATTTTAGCCGGACGACGCGGAAACCACCTCCACCGACGAGGGCGACCCGCGGTACCGAAAGCGTGCAAAATGTGACGTGTTTGGTCCTAGGCTTACTACTGGTCAGAGCCGCTAAAAGCTTTTTCGTCGTCGAAATACAAAATATAAGTGGCGCGAACCGTTTCAATTATCTATAAAAGAAGTTTTTGTTCAGTATTTTAGATCAGAAAAGAAACAAATGCAGTTTATAAAGTACGGAAACAAGAAAAGACCCGTCGACATACCCGCCACCAAGCGGCGGAAAAAACGGCGCATACTAGAAAGAACTAGTGGGATGAGGCTACGACGAACGGCCAGCCTAGAAAAGCCCCGGATGTACGCGGCGGCGCTGCGGTCGTATACCGGCTCAACGATCCGACCGGTTCCGAGCGTTCCGAAGGCCTTCAGCGCAAGCCCTGCTGGCGATTTGGCCATTTGGCGGCATGGCAGCGAGAAGTGGCTCCCGTTCTGAACTGATCTTTACCCCGTGTTTGCTGTCGTTTGTGGCAAAATGAAGTGTCATGCCGAAATAGTCTTTAATCGTGCAGCAAATGCAATGCGAGCCGCCCCGGCCGCCCGCTTCATAGAGCCTATCCAACATATGCTTTAGTGGCGCCCTCTCGAGCCGTTGACCCGGAGTGCGGCAACCGTGAACGCTCGATGAGCTCACTACCCCTCCTCTAGTTTATGGCCACTCAAGCCAGGACCTACTACGTCATGAAAGAGGTTATTTTTTGCTTGTTTTTGTAATTCTAATTTGCCTATAACTTCTAAAATAAAGCGAAATTTGAGAAAAGAAAAGTTTGATTAAGTTACTACGTTCAGTGCGCTCAGGTTCGGTGCAAATTAAAACCAGTCAAAAAGTCATTGCAGGGCCCCTTTATGGTATCCTAACATGCGATTGGCATTGTTAATCATGTATTCAACATGAAGTTTCCAAGAAAGGTTATATATGATATGAACACCAAGGTATTTGTAACTTGACACTGATGCGAGAGGCTTACTGTTAAGGTGGTAAGTGTGAGGCAGAGATGAACCACGTGATATTCTCATATGTTTACATTTGTCAGTGTTTAGTTCCATTAGCCACTGGTTACACCATAATGATATCTGGTTAAGGTCTGATTGTAGAAGTAATGTGTCAGATATATCAGTTATTTTTCTATATATTATGCAATCGTCAGCAAACAGGCAGATGGAAGAAGAGATGTTCAGTACCAGGTCATTAATGTAAATAAGAAACAGTAGCGGGCCAAGCACGGAGCCCTGTGGAACGCCTGAATTGACTGGAACAGTGCGAGAATTGGTATTATTAGCAGTGACGAATTGTAGGCGGTTAGCTAAAAAGGCGTGGATCCAGTTAAGTATGCGTGAGTCGATGTTAAGTGATTGCAATTTATGGAGTAGTAGCTTATGGGAAACTTTATCGAATGCTTTTGAAAAATCCAGAAAGACACAATCAGTTTCATAATGGTCATCAAGAGAGTGATGGAGATCATATGTGAAGGATATTAGTTGCGTCTCACATGAGAAATGTTTTCTAAAGCCATGTTGTGAAGTAGTAAAGAAGTCATTAGATTCAAGAAAGTTAACCAACTGTGAGTAGATGACGTGTTCAAAAATTTTGCAAGGTACACTGGTTAAAGAAATTGGGCGATAATTGAGTGGATTATGTTTTCCACCCGATTTGTGTGGAGGAACCACCTTCCCAACTGTTCGACTACTACTTACATCACAATTACTGCCTGCTCTTTTAAGCGCGAGAGCCGTGCCATCCTTACAAACAAATACGCTCTTAAACGCATTTTATATTAACGCGACAGCATTAAGGAGCTCGTGTTGCAGAAGAGCCGATGTTGGTGGCGTGATGGGAAAACCCTGATTGGTCAATAGGGTCACGACGTCAGTCACATGACCTCGTGCAGGACTTTCGGACAACCCGCACATGAAACATGATATTACGCGTGGCATGGAAGTGATTAAAACATGACATGTAATGCGAATTAAAGGTCGCCACATCTCTCAAATGATTTTACTTTATAAAGTAATAAGCTTGCCTTAAAGAAAAATGTGAAGACTTTCAGGCGGGATTCGAACCCATGACCCTTCGGTTCATGAGCCAGACACACTACCGACTAGGCCACACAAAACATGCTTGCACATTGAATGAGAAGGCGATGTAAACGGGGCCCGATAACGCTATCACGTTCCTCTCTTAAAGGCGAAACGTTCCTCCAAGTTTTTTTAAATATAGGACTCGAATTGTAATATGCTTTTTTGACAGTGGCTGTTCTGACAGTTGGCACCTGAAACAACTGATGAAAAACAGTGATGACTGTGCCTATTTCGAGCCTTCATGACCTTATCTCTTGGCCTGATGCCAATAAAGCGCACACTTCCACTAAACCAAAACGTTAAGCGCCTTCAGGTTAAGCGCGTTCAGGCTCGGTTACGCCCCGAGTGGTCCTCCCTTCAAAGGCAAAATGGAATCGTCCGGAGCGCGCGCAGCACCCCTGCCCGCCGCCATCTCGGCCACACGGGTTGATTAATTTGGTAAGGGTGGCATGCAGTATTTCAATATTAATTTTTACTGGGTGAAACTAAGTCAAACATCATTGTTCCAACCTTACCAATTGTCCTTAAGTCGGTCTCGAGGTCAAAATTAATATGTGAGCTATTCCCACAAGTGTAGAGTTTGCAAAGGAGAGCAAATCCAGGAATTTCATGTTGCATTTTGAAGGCGGGGGGGTAGGGGGGCGTTGACTTTAACAAGTCCCACCCCCCCCTCCTCCCCCCCCACCTTTCCCTACACCATTACCACACAAGTATGGTTTGTTGCACTTTCAACTCTCCAGTAGCTTGCTGGGATCAAAGATGGCAAGTGAAATTAGGAGCTCTATGTCTGCATTATCATTTAGACACAATGCCACCAAATGTCTTTTCTTTTTTTTTTTTTAACTGGACACTCGTGACATTCAGGACCCATTCATTTTTTCATCAACTGGCATGTGAAGTGAGAGCACTCCACCCAATAGATAGAGGAAAGCGCATTCGACAATTCTACGTTGTTTCCTGGTTAGAGCCTCACTTCTATTTGCCTCGACTTCCCTTACCATGTCTAATAAACTGTCAGAGAATATAATTTCCTGACTCGAAACAAGTTGGTGCGAATATTTGTGCAACAACTCCAACATTTTGTGGTCTTGCTGTTTCGGCGAGCAACCTGCCGCACACGGAGGACCCATCACACGTTGGAAATCTTATTAAGCTACGTAACACAGATTCCATGCGAAGCTGAAGCCGAGGGACAATGGACAACATATCTTCATCTATCAGCGTCATCGTTCCACCTCATCAGTTTCCATGGGTTCATGTAAACTCTGAAAAATGTCAAATGTGAAATTCTCGTTTTCAATTAGCCCTGGAAGACTTTCACTTATGATAGCCGAATGTTTGTTTCACTTATGATAGCCTCACGTGAGCCTCACCTCAGAAGTGTAATTCTTAATTTTGCACATTTCTTTTGTACCAGACTAGGTATGTAGGTCCAAACCATCCCCTTTATTCTAAAGGATTCCCAATCTTGCACTTAACACTACTTTGTTCCTGCCGTGCAAAAAAAAAACAACCTAGAAAGCGCTCTTGTAGTACAGCCTTTAAAATCGGGAAGACGACGAGTTCCGACATGGTACGCCTGGATAAAGCGCTCAATGCTGTTGTCGATTTTCCTTTGCTACAAAGTTCAATATTGCTCCATGTTGCCCAAGAACAAAGCAGAATAGGTTATCCATGCAACTCGCAATCTGACCCGCCTTTGCATTGGATGCAACTAATGTGTGACAAATTAAATAAAACCGGCACTGACCTCCTAATACCATTTTAAATGGTTGAGAAAGGTGAATTCAAAAACTCATCTTTGCTCACTAAAGCAAAAAAAAGTGTAAATAATTCCCCAAAATGTTTGCCTTTGTGTCTTCTCTGTCAGCGGCCCTTTGCGACGCCTTCAGCCGCTCCTCACTGCTCTGCTTCCATTTTGCGAGGTGCAAGGCTCAAAACAGCTAAACAAACCCTGCAAAGCAAAAGGGAACTCGTGCAGGCAAAAAGCACGACGCTGCAAAGGGGTCACATAATGTTAACGTCACATATTCTGCAGGATGAGGAACCCCGTTACTGAAAACCAGACCTTTTGGAAAGAAATTATCAACAAAAAAGGCAGTGTTGAAATTTTGGGAACGTGACTGTCATGATGCGAGCATGCAGTCCACATCAAAACATGGCGAGGTATTTTTTAGGCCAGAGTGGCCCCACCAAAGTGGGTCACTGCGCACAAGGCTGCAGTACCCCAGCCAATATTAACAGAAACACGACTGCTTGCGACGTCCGGTACAGTATGCGTTGCTCGTCAAACGCTCCGCAGCGTTCGACGGATGCCGAGGACAAGATGTGAACGCATCCCTGCCTGCAAGTCATCTCGTGAAATGAGGATTCCTAGCATCATTTAAGCACAAATGGGAAAACTGTCTACATCTCATAACTCAGGTAATTTAATTGGCATCAATGTGGCAGACTGCAACCCAGTGGTGTGCTCTACATTTTACCGTAGTAAACGGTAACAGAGAAGTGGGTCTAGCTCTGTCCTAGAAGGCATCCAGAACTGTGGCCACCTCATTATTCAGTGGTGGTCACGTCATGCTGCATCTCCAGATGTACAACGGACTTGGGGTGGCGCTTCTACCAATTTCACGATGCCCTGCGGCATTGTTTGGGCTGTGTTCAGCTGCACCGACCAAGAGCCAACTGAACTACTCATCTCGTGCTGAAATTTAGCAGTGGCTCAAAGCAGGCCACCGTCCGTTTTGGGACGGTAGGCCCCACTTTGTTTTTGGTCAGGCAACTTGGTTCTGCATGTTGAAGCACGCGCCACGTCTGCACAGCAAAGCATTTCAACGGTTGCATGCTGGTCAAGCTGAAAACGAACCGTGCATGTGCTTCGAGCCAAAATTGTTTTGTTAGGTTTACGCGAGCCATTATAAGATGGGTGTCTGCATAGGCTACAGAATTTATAATGGTTTGCTCCATGAAAAGGTTCCTGCACATGCACACTGACCCCAGTTCCTGTGGGCAAAAATGTTCTTGCTTATGGTTAAGGAGCCACCTTGTATTCCCAATTCCCACCATGCCCGGTACCTTCATCCACGGCTCCACGGTAAGTGCCATCAGTTTCCCTCGAGTTGCTGATCCTGTTCTGTGAACCGTTATGTCTCACTGCAGAAATCTAGTGAAGATATCGGAGAGTTCATGCCCTAGGCGGCCTAACTGCTCTTCACCTAGTAGCTTGGCTATTCGGACAGCACTGCGGGACTTGGGCAGAAAGACAAAACTTGCAGAAAGCAACCGCACAACAGAATTTAGCCACTTGTTGTGACATTCTGTCTAGAAGTAAAGGGAGAACCCCGAGGCAGTTAGTAACAGGGACAGTTTTTTTTTTTGGCAATCCTGAAAGTTTAATGAACTGGCCTCAAAGGTAAACCATAGCCTAAACACCATCAGTTTGTTGCAGCGAGCACAAGAAGCCAAATCAATCTGTCGACTAAGTAGTGCAGCTTTTGGCAACGATCACAGGGCACGCTGGCTCAAGACATCAATCATCCTCAAGAGGTCTGCACTGGTCAAGCCCAGTACCTAGCTTTGCCTTCCTGAAAGTACCGTAAAAACCCCAAAGATAGCCCAACCCTATTTTTGGCTTGATTTGCTAGATTGTATTAAATGCCGAAAGATAGTCCATTCCTAGTAATAATAGTGTTGGGATCATTAATGGCGTCGGCGTAAATGCGACTAGTTAGCTATGGTGGGATATAAGCGAACATTGTTGACAGGGAAGTACAGTCATATGTGCTTCATTGCCGGTCACCACCATAAGATGGGAAGGGACACAACCTAATAGCAATTTTTAAACTTTTCTCGACAGTACATTGAAGCTGAGCCTATTCTATGTTTTCACCCGATTTGCGCCTGATGTTAGGTGGGCTATCTCTCGGGATTTTACGGTACCTACAGGGCAGAATGGAGCTAGGACACGAGGTAAATTCTGGAACCAATTTACTTGCGCGTTGTTTACACATCCTTCATCCCCAGCAAGAAGGCCTAGAATATAACAAACCCAGGTGTATTTCGGTCAGTGATGAAACTCGTGTCACAGATGCACGCTACACTGACTAACGAGCGAAGCCCCGCCTCTGGCACGTTGCTTTACTCGCGGGAGTGCGGTCAGGACGCTCGAGAGAGGCCCTGTACGTACTCGGGACTCGCGGCCTGCGAACACGGGGCGGCGGGGGGACAAAGCGGAGGGGGGCGCAGCGGAAGACGGGGCGGAGAACGACTACTTGAGACAGCGTTCAAAGTACGTGGCACCGATGTAGCCGCCCAGCATGGCCTTCTTGACGTTCTGCTCGAACAGTCTCCGATTGTTCTGCAGCACCTCGGCGGCGTCCTTATTCAGCGGGTCCTCCGGGTTGGGTTCGAGGAAGAGGTACTGGAGCCCATAGACGATGGAGTTGATGGTGAGCACGGGCTTCCAGTCCTCGCGCAGGATGTTCAGGCACACGTTGCCGTCCAGGTCGATGTTGGGGTGGTACACCATTGTCTCGCACTTGACCTTGGGCGGCTCGTGCGGGTAGTTGGCGCTCACGCGGAAACTGAAGACGAAGCGTCCGCCGCGGTAGAAGCCCTCGTCCGGACAGATGACGAGCTTGAAGCTGAGCAAGTCGTCCGGGTCGGGAAACTCCATCTGACATGTCTTGGGCAGGTTGAGCTCGTTGATGTCTTTGGTGATCCTCAGCTGGGCGGCCGAGGCGCGTTTCTGGTTGCTCGCCTTGCCGGTCGCTTCGCCGTCCTTTTGCTGCTGCTTTAGCGAGAACAGTTTGATCATTGTGTTTTGCACGGGATGCCGACGCGCACCAGCACCACTTACGCCTATTCCACAGTTGTTGGGCTACAACAACCGGATGCTACCTCACTGACCGGATGTTTGAACGGATAGGTAACTGTGGCTTGGCCGTCGTTCGTATCGGTAGATAAACAAATAAATGCAAATACGTTTTTCAGAGCGGGCGGTGACTAGCGCCATCTATTATTTTTTTTAGTTGGGCGATTTTGCGAAATTTATATGATAGTTTCGAGTTCAGGACCTTGTTATGAAAGCGTTTATTAACGACTAGTTAATACAACTGAGAAGACCGAGTACTGAGTCCGAGTTCGACGAGCTTGCCTCGACATGGCAGGTCACGTTGCTTGCTGTGTGTCATAGGCTATGTTCCAAATCTTACCCGAGTAACCTGCCTCCTACGTCAGCGGGTAATACCACGTGACATCGCGAGTAAACGATCCGCGACTCGATTTTGGAACGGCCGGGTTAATTACCTGGATACTATGCGGATTGGCTTTGTCTTGGGCTACGACAAAAAGAAACCACAGCAGCGATGGCAGAAAATAGCAGACGATCTTTTTGATCATCAGGAAAGCACTCGAAGAGACGATAATAATTATGACGACGCGGTGTTTTTTGAGGCGGATTCACCAGCTCCTTTTACTCACCTTCTTTTTGAGCTGTATATTGAAATAAAAATTACCTACTACTTACAGTTAGACATTAAAAAAGTGTTTTATTAGTCTGCGCGATTGCCCTAAACGCATATATTCCACGCATTGTAATTTGCATTGATCATGTTTTGCAGAAATTGATTCCACACGGTGTAGTGGTGCAGCGCGAGGGTGCTTTCTCAAGAATGATATAAAACTTTGACGCGAATATGATTACGATAAAATCTTTGAAGCCTTCACTGCTTTGCGAGCGTTATCCTCTCACTACACACGCTCTAGAGAAAACAAAAAAATACTACCTTATCATTTACTGCGTTCAAATATTTTCAGCCTTGAACGTGAGAATACGACATTCTCTCCAACGCCGAGGACGAGAATGCGGAGAAGCTCCTGTTTACGCTCGCACTCTGATAATAACAAGTATACCTTCCCGGGGAAGGTGCACGGTCTGGATGTAATGCAGTCAATTCGTGCGTTGAAAACAGCAAATCGCAATAACCACACATGCTGCACCTCATTCTTTGTCATTTCGAACGTCAGCCACCAAAACCAACCGAGCAAGCGAGCTTTGACGGCTGTCGGCGCAGAAAGCAGACGACGAACAGATCACGTGACGTATTTACTCGCTTTGATCCGACGTTACCCCCCGATCGAGGAGGGTAGCGTGAGTAATTACTCCGGAGTAAACAACCCGCTTCTGGAACGGGAGTTTTGACGTCATCGAGTGAGCTCGAGTAAGTTTTGGAACGCCACGGTACGAAATCTTTACTCCGGAGTCGGATCGAGTAAATTTTGGAACACAGCCATAGAGATCATACATACTAACTCTAGAGGAAAAGGTCCGCCATTTTCCCATACATTCTGGCTGCCGCAAGCGGCGGATCATGCAGGCAGACCCTCGGGGTCCCAAACACGGTTACATCATCAGAGCAGTTTCGTGAACTTCAACAATTCACGAACTTACCGGTGGAAAGATATTCACGTTCCTTTCGAAGCTTTCTTTTTGAAAAGCGCGCAGAAGTACGGCCTCGCGTTAACGCTAAACTAAACCATATACCCGGCTTCGCTGGTGGGGCGCGGCTGGGCGCGGTTGAGGAATACGAAACTGCGCAACCACCAGATTTCCGAGATTTCGACAGAAGGGAAGTTAATGCAGCGTAATGAGTTTATTGCTTTTTATAAGCGTTAGAATAGCTCATAATTTAGTTTACAACGTTAAATTATTACTGTTTATATTTCTGAGAGCTCTTCGCGTTACCATGGCAACGTTGCTTGCTTTCTCTCGTGTTCTGTCGCTCTCTTTTGCGTTCGTTCACTCGGGACCCAGGATGTCGGCGCACGGGATTTGCCACTCCTCCTCACCCACCTTTACCCCCCTGCTGTGTGTGTGTCTCTCATTGGTCAACGGTCCCAAGCCGCTGGATGGATGGATGGATGGATGAATACGGCTGAGCCCTTTGGATCGGGCGGTAGCTTACGCCACCTAGCCATTTTGTTTTACCATTTAAGCTTAGAATATTTAAATGTGAAATCTATATTCACTCCGCAGTGCAAAGAAAGTGAGGCTATGAAACCCCCTTGCCATCAGTGGATAAGAAAATACCTAGTTTTCTCTCGATTTCTGCCACCATTCACTTAATCTTTGCTTGGTAATCTCTACAGTCTTGAAATCCACTCTCCCTTCGCTGTCTCTAAAACCCAATGACTTTATTAAGTCTATGTTGTCTTCGGTAGGCATAGGGTGAAGCCCTTTACGCGTATCGAGTGAAGCCCTTTACGCGCAAGCACGAGTATCGCGCTTGCGCGATACTCGTGCTCCCCCTAGCTCCCCCTAGGGAGGCCCTAGCTCCCCCTAGGGAGGCTGTAGTGCCTCCCTAGCTCCCCCTCGGTGAGGTGGCTCCCTCCCGTGTTGAAGATGCAAACTTGTCTACATCTCCCTTTTTCACTCATAAATAAAATGTGTCGCATTAGCGGGCTGGTTTTTGTTTCGCTCTCTGGCTCCTGCGAAGAGCGATGCTGTTCCTCCTGCGCTGTATGCCCTCGTCGTCTTGAACAATGTATGACCTTGACTGCGGGGCTCTAGCGAGTATGACAGCCGGTTTCCAGGTTCCTCGTTCTTGATCTTGAAGGTAGACGTCTTCTCCCGCGTGTAATTCAGGTAGAGGTTTGGTGCCTTTGTTGTAGTACCGTTGCTGAGTTCGTTGCTTGTCTCTCAGCCGCTGTTGTACCTTGCTTGGGTCTGTGCTTGTCCCTTGCAGTAGAGATGGATGTGTAGGGACTTCCGTCCTGGTATGTCTGTTCATGAGCCTTTCAACTGGTGATCCTAGAACTCCATCCCTGGGAGTGTTTCGCCATTCGAGTAGGCCACCGTAGTACTCTGGCGTTCCGTAGCTGCACTTGGTCCAGTGGCGGATCCAAGAGGGGGGGGGGGGGGGCGATCGCCCCCCCCCCCCCCCCCAAACACCTCGCCAGGCAACCCCTCCCCCCCGGGGTTTTTCGTCAGCTCGAAGAAAAAACGTAAGCAATCGACGCGAGGGACAAAATATTAAAACAGGGGCGGGTGGACGCGCCTGCTGGACGCTTCCAAAGTGGGGTTTATCTCCGTCAAGGTCACGGTACGTCTTCCAGATAGGGACGGCGCCAGGAGTTTCGAAGTGGAGAGGCAGTGGGGAGGCGCACCAAATATCAGGGTCCTGGACTGCAGGTACACTTCCAAACAAGGCCAGCACGTCGAGCACGGGGGGAAAATACCTTCAACATATCTATTCCCCTTTCTCTCTCTCTCTGTTTCCTCTCTTTCTTTGGAGGTTGTCTGGGAAAAATTTGTGCCCTGAAAGCTCCCAAACGCAGACGCCAAGCAGCCTTCCTCAACGGTACGATCCTATACACAGCGGATTATCCTTCCTTTCCCACGTAGCATCCAATGTCGTGCGAACATTCCCTGGGTGTTCTGATCATTAAAACACCATTCGGAACGTTCTAGGAACGTTCGTATGCGAACATTCCTTACAAGGTAAGCTGCTCAACATTCTAGAAACGTTCGTTGGCGAACATTCGTATGCACAATGTTCTCGGAACGTTCCCCTTTTAACATTCATATGTGCAACCTTCTTGGAACGTTCGCTTGCGAACATTCCTAGAAATTTCGCAGGTGAAGTCAACTTTAGGGGAGCTTTCAAGCAACCTGTGTTTCGAAACACCATCCACTATATGCCACCTTGTGCCAAAAATATGCAAATTAAGTGGAGATTTTGGAAACGTAGCATAAGGGATCAGTTTTATCTTATACGAGTCTACCGAGGAATGTGAGATAAGGTGTAGGAGAAAAGCAATGGTCTTCAAAATTTGATAATGAGCTTGGCACTCACTGCGTATGTAGAGGGGCAGTTTTGAATAGACCCGATTTTTAGCATCTCCGATTCAATACCTTGAAGGAAGGTATGTCCCGCTTGAGTGTGGAATGCTGTAGGTATCTGTTCTTATGCTCGGAGTGAGTAATCCGCTATGTATGCAGCACGTTTTGTATAAGTAGGAGTAAACTGCCCCTATAGTTCAGGCTAATGCGCTGGAAAGGCGGCTAGATTGTGCTAGGCCTGGAAAAATATTTAGATTAAAAAATATTGACCGCTCTGTGTGGAGATTTATTATATCAATATATGTAGTACGGCTCAGTGGGGCTGTAAGCTAAGTAAGCCATAATTGTGGAATCTTTGTAAACATTATTCAGAGAATGTTGCAGATGTTCTTTGGATATTTTGGGAACGTTCTTAAAACCTTGTTAGAATGGTGATTAAATGTTCTATCGTGCTCAGAACGTTCTAAAAATATCCCCTAGAAGACATTCCCCGAATGTAGCGATAAGTGCCTCCGCCACATTCTGACAACGTCGATAGAACGTTCTTACGTAAATTTGCAACATTCAGAGAATGTTGCAGAAGTTCTTTGGATGTACTGAGAACGTTCTTACAACCTTGTTAGGATGTTTCAATGTTGATTGAATGACCTGGTAATGTTCTATGTCGTTTTCAGAACGTTCTAAGAATATCCCTTTGAAGACATTCCCCGAATGTAGCGATAAGTGCCTGCGCCACATGCTGACAACGTTGATAGAATGTTCTTACGTAAATCTTCAACATTCCAAGAATGTTGTCTATGTTATTTTGAACATTCCCGGAATGTTCTCAGAACGTTCTCGTGCTACGTGGGTTCTAGCGGCCGTTTTTTCATCACTTTTCGTTTGATAGTTTCCTCGTGGTTCTGGGCTTGTCTTTTGGCATGTCTTTTTTGGCTTGCTTTGAGATGCTGTCGCCCACGGGCTTACTAAATGCTCATTGCCAAGGGAAGTGCGGAGGGGACGTACCAGGAGGAGACGTTCCAGGGGGGGGGGGGGGGGGGGTGCAGCTTGTACAACCTGGTGACCAATTGCTT